CACAGCATGTTAAGAGTGAGGCATTTGTAGTAGACAACAACCATTAACAAATAAGGGCGTGTGTCCACCTGTCCGAAGAAGATTGGCTAAATGTGCGTAATTGGAAAAAAAAAGTGCAGGATATTACATGTAAATTATGGAATCACACACATTTAGGGGCTTGCCAGTGTCAGTACATTGGTCGCAGCAGTGACAAACGCAGATGCCAGTTCTATGTGTCGTTATCAATTTACCCTTCATAGATCTAGATCTACATCTACACAGCACACGAGTGAACACAACACATTACGTTTAAGATCAGCACCCTTCATAGAGGCAACACGTCATTCTGAAGCGAAAAACTGTTTGGAATTGTAACATTTCTTTATAAATATTTGCTGCGGACATTTTTTGGACCGATTGAACCATATTTTTACTATTGTATACGAACAATCTTTGGTAGGCCTATACTATAATTATAGATCTATATAATATCCAAAATTTGCGGGAAAGGATGAGATTTCACAGTGTTCCGAGAAATAGTGCCCAGCTTTATTTTCCCGAACGTTCGTAGAAATAGTGCCTAGCTTTACTTTCCCGAACGTTCGGAGAAATAGTGCCCAGCTTTATTTTCCCGAACGTTCGGGGAAATAGTGCCGGCGTAAATTTTTACTTTTACACCCACACACAGATGCACTGATATGAAGGCTAAACTGCCATAATTTTTGCTGCAGAACACACGTATGGCCACAAAAACCTGGCAAATCAATTGTTTTCATGTAAATATCAATCCTAATTGCCAAAACATCAAATCATTGTGAAATTCAGGGGGGCATGCCCCCCTGAAACTCCCCAGTTTTTTTTAGGTCAGGGGGGCATCCCCCCTGAAACCCCCCATGTCGTTAAAAGTAAGTCAAAAATATTACTACGCTACTGGTCCTAGTTCTGTTTTCAAACATGAATAACTCAGTAACTATTGATTTGCGGCAAAAGAGAAGGCCATATATTCGTGTTCAGCATGCAAAATTACTAGAAAAAAAGTATAACAAACCTATACATGAGACGGGTGTAAGTAAAAAAATACCATGTATCACAATATCCCCCACCAAGTACGCTGGCAGCGCAGAACTGAATTTTTGTATTGATCACTCAAATGTGCACACACATCAAATTAACAACTCCGTCTGCGGAGTAGCCTATAGAATCTAGATCTAGATTTAGCACACAATATGAATTCGTCCTGTAGCCTGCTGTGTTAATGTTCAGAAATGAATCACAAATCACATCCATAAAAATGGTTCATTTCACTTGGTACTAATGGAAGTGAAGCAAACACCTGTTACACCATGATGCCTATTCCTTCTAATGACTTTAAATTGTGAAAAAAGATTTATCGAAATAGGGTAGGGACGTGGTGTAAAACAGGACTGTGCGAATGCCAGTGCCCAGCATTGTGTGGCGGGTCAAAATTGTTTGAGGGCTCTAGATCTATGCCATAATTATGATGATTGTTTTCTGTGATTGCTTGGCATATATGAAATCTAGATTCTATAGGATAGGTGTAGGCCTATTTGACTTTCATTTTGAATTCCTTAAGTGTTTATTGATCACCCTGAATGATGCTGAGATGTGTTAATAACAAAGTTAGAAACATTAACTGCCACCTACCCTTAAATGTACAAAGAAAGAGTAAAATATTTGAATAAAAAAGAAACAACAACCCTATTAAATGGGTAGATTGCTTTCCATTGTCAAATTGTCTGTGCATGATTAAATTAATGCAAACCTTATCTTCGGTAGGACAAGATCTAAAGTCTATGTCTCTATCTTATTTTCATACCATAATCATACACACCCAAGCTTAATATTGATTTTGAATTCAATCAGTCAGTCAGACTTATTTTATGTTTTCAAGTCCCTGCATCTCATTACTTTGTCTAAATGAAAATATAGTCAAGTACCTGACCAACAACAATGAAACAATATGAATAACTATATATAACTTCTCTTAAAGAAAGTGTATTAAAAACGACACCAAACTAAATAAATGTCAACACTCTTTGTGACTTGACGAGGACTTTAATAATCAAGCACAATGAAGACATACGTCAGACGATGCATGGCTGGGACAGAAACGGAACAGAAATAAAGCAGATGAGTATGATTGACAAATAAGGGAAATAATAATAACGGACACAAGGAACAGATACGAATGATGGCACATACAATGTGGTCTTGTAGCTACTGAATGATATTCCTCTACAAACCATATCAGATGAAGGGGTAGGGGGTTGGTTCAGAGTTACCCTATTTAAATTTATTTTAAATAATCTCCACCTCAGATCCCACTGTTTATGGTATCGGTTCTCTTAAGATTTGGCTTTTTTTTTTTTAATGAAAAAAAAAAAATCATCCAAAGGTCTCCCCTAAGTTCTCATTCTGAAGTCTGCAAGGACTAAATATGATAAATTCCTGCTTTTTAGTTAATACATTACTGAACAAAAAACCCTTCAAAGATCATCCACCCTTATGCATGCGATCAGATCTTGATGAGAGGTACAATGTTTGTCTTAGACGCAAGGACCTTGCCTTACAATAAAGGGATCACGCCCAGATTTCTCTAAACATCAGATTCGCATCATGAGCCTACCGCCTGAGCTCACAGCAAGGCATTATTCGGTGGGTAGGGCCAACAAGGCCGCGCCAGACTAGGTCACATCACACTGTGGTTTTGTCAGTCTGGTGCTTTTGTTTCACTGACCATCTCACTTTAAAAGTCTGCACCCAAAATTGCTAGACAGACTGGGGTCTGTACTCCGGGACTGTCCCATCACCTTTGTGTTATGTTGACAGTGAGCCTGCCTTTCATTCTTTTAATTTGACTGGTTTTTTTAATGCTAAATGGAATGGTTGGACATCTGCCTTCCGCTGCTCCCTGCCTCTGGCTGCCAGCTTAACCCTATATCTCGCCATTATTTGATGTTTTGCGACATATTTTCTTGTAAACAACTGATTTGCGAGGGTTTTAGCAACCTATGATCTGCAGCAAAAAGATGCAGCAGTTAAGCCTCCAAAGTTGTGCATCTGCGTTTAGGTGTGAAAGTAAAAATTTACAGTGAACATTTTTATTGTTGTATGATAATTATAAAAGCTAAGATGAAGTTCGAAGTTTCTAGTATTTATTATAATTATAGATAATAAATAAATTGTATTACATTATTTGTACTAGTGCATCATGTGTACTTTTATTATTAAAAAGATATAAATTATTGCGTTCTTCGTGTGCGAAGTGTTTTTGTTCTTTTGTCTTTTATTCATATTTAGTTAGTTTTAATAGACCTGTCCTTTAGCACCTTGATTTATTGTGTTACTGTCATTGTACGTTTTGTTTAGTAAATTGTGATCATGCAGTAAATATATTGAATAATAAATTGATAAATAAATAAATGTGTCTGTAGTCAGAGATGTGGTCAGATAGTGTAAAGTGTGAGGTACCATCAACAGTGTTTTAAAAAATTGGCTACACTCCCTCTGGAAATTGAAAAGGATTTTCTCCACAATTTCTGAATCTTACAGTTGTGCCATCGTGTCTTGTTACTCAAGTCTCCCATTCTTCAGCTGTTTCCTCATGCTTTCACTTGTTTCTACTCTCAATGCAGACTGGGAAGAGGTACACGTTGAATATGTTCAATTTAAGCAGTTTCATATGTTTGGGGATTGTATGTGGTGCTCATAATGACAGCTGAGCATTGATACAATTTGAATTTTGTGTACTCTTCACCATTCACTTCTGTGTGACTGCAGTGTTGGCTTCTTTTTGCAATCGGGCAACCCAGCCTTCCTTCCTTCTTTGTCTTGTACCCACAGCATGTTAAGAGTGAGGCATTTGTAGTAGACTAATGGCCGGCGGTAAGTTTTTAAAATGTAAAATGGCGCAGAGACAGTGCAGAAATGAAGATTACAGATTTTGGTTCAAGTTTTAGGCCTCTTGATCTTGTCTTTTGTTTATTATACTTGCACTGAAATTGAGTAAAGATCAGCTCTTGATTCAAGTCACTTTTTTTTTCTTAGTGTTTCAGACTGGAATGGTAGGTTACCCAGAGTCCTTGACAGACCCGTCTTACTGCAAACAGATTTTGGTTTTGACATATCCTCTCATTGGGAACTATGGCATCGGAGATAATGCCAACGACAAATGGGGCCTTCCAAGATGGTTTGAGTCCAACAAGATTCATGCAGCTGGTTTGGTTGTTGGAAACCTTTGTGAGCAGTATAGCCACTGGGGAGCTGTCAAATCGCTCTCTGCGTGGATGGAGGAGCATGGAGTACCTGGAATTAGTGGTAGGTATTATATTGTAATTTTACGGGTTTTCATGTCTGTGTTTAGTCTGTATGGCTGATTGCTGCTATATATATATTCCATTAAATGAGCATATTCCTACTTTTTGAAGGAGAGACACGTTTAAATTGAAAGCCCTTACGTGCTAATAAAAAAAAATGAAAAGAAACTGTAAGACAAAATGATGTTAGTAAGGTGGATTATTTTGTTGAAATTTTTTGCACATTATTGTGTGAACTCTCTTTTGTTATCCTTTAGGGTTTTTTTCTCTTTCTTCATCTCTTCATAGTTAAAAAAACCCACTTTATTGTTTCCCTTGGATATCCGAGGCCAGTGTGTTATAAAACATACACATAATATTATCATCTCATAACATATTGAGTACTCACTTTGTGTTAACATGGGACCCTCTGTATCAACTTTAGTGCTTGCAAAGTGTGCAAGTTAAGAACATTAAAATTCAGTGTAGAAGACTTTCGGTTTAGTAAGGGTTGTGGTTATTCCTGTAATATGCCAAGCTGGGATAGGGGCTTACTTCCAAGTTCACAGAATTTGTTTTTTGGATGTTCATTATTTCAAATTGACTTCAGGGTTCGTTTAGTTGTTTGTTTGTTTTTTAAAGGATGGATTTAGTGTGATAGGAAATCTTTTTGTGGTGTAGCCTTTTGGTTTGACAATCATTTCTTTGGTTTTGTTTTATCGTTGTGATCATTCTTTCAGGTATTGACACAAGAGCTCTCACGATGAAAATACGAGAAAAGGGAACAATGCTTGGCAAAGTGAGTCACTAGCAGTTTTGTGATTTTTAACATTTTTGTCATCAATGTTTTTTGCCTGTAGGTTGAGGTGAAAAATTGGTTACAAATAAAGAAATTTTGATGATGGACAGAAGGTCATAACATTCTCTTCTCACTTTTGAGTCAAAACTTTCTTTAAAAAGCTGACTTATGTTTGCTCTCCTGTTTTCCATCTTTCTGCTCAATTTAAAAAAAAAATTTTTTCTTTTATTTTCATATGTGTCATGGCCTGATGGAATCAGGCGCTCGTCAATTTTTTAGCATATGGAGTTATTGATAGAGCTTGTTTATTTGTCTTGCGTTTGATAATAAAAGTACATACATGTGTCTTGAATAGAAGTCGAGATATTTGAGATTGAAGGAAGTGGGAGTCGTCATGTGTCAGAGGTAAATTGTGAGAAAACGCCCTCCGAAGTTTGGTGAACTCCAAAACTTGAGTGACCCATGAAACAGCAAATTTACATTTCTTTGTACCTTTCAGCAACGTTTTTCAGTAAAATCCACATAGAAATGTGTTATGCACCGGACCTAAAAGTAGTGTTGGGCCAGGCTCTCTACTAAATCAGCGTTTACAAGTAACGTACGGTTTGCAAATAATACTCACAAACGAACGAGTGGATAAGTAGTGGACCGTTCCCTTGTGAAGATTCGTTAGCTGCTCCTCTGGCGCAAAGATAATGATTCGTCTAGCGAGCAGGCGGTTGGATACGGACAGAGAGGCTACTTGCATTGCATACACTACTTCTATGTTATGTATAGAGAGATACGTGTGAAATGGTATATAATTCACAACAACCCCCTCCCCCACCCTGCCATCCACCAATCTGACCTCCACGTATTATGCTGTCACTGTTATCATGTGGAAGCAGACTGTAGGTGGGTGCTGTTCTTAGTGGGTGTTCCCTCCCCCCAAGTCTTTGGGGGATTTTTTAAACTTTGCCTTTGCTACAAATTAGAACATACACAATGTGACCCACAAACGTGGTGAAAAGTAACACACACTCAGTGCTAGGCCACCAGCCTCTCTCACTCCCTGTGGCACAGCTAGTAGCTTGAAACGTTTTTCTAGGTCTAATTTACAAACAATAGACCAAAGGCCTAACCTGGGGTCGAGTATATTGAAATGAACTGTCTTGAGGTTCACAGTCAGTCTGTATGGCCGTTCATTATTCGCTTGCTCCCGCGAGTAATGAACCCATTTGTTCGTTCACCCCAACACTACCGAAAAGGTATTGAGCCCCCTCCAACCCAAAAGAAATTCGGTAAATGTAGCCCAATGTTTGGAAAAAATGTTTTCTCTGATTTAATTATTTTGACGAGCACCTGATTTATCACTATGCCACATGTGCATTGCTTAATCTGTCCCTGGCCGAATATGGGCTGATTGGCTCTATGCTTAAATTAACAGGAATTTATGAGTGACTCTTTCTGTATATTGGCCATATACATCATTTTGGAGAAATAAGAGTATATTTGGTTTGCTGTCAGATCTGAGGATTTGTATTTCAGAACATATGGTATGCTCCAGTTAAAGGATCAGTTGTGCAAAGTGAGAATTGCATGCTTCATGTGCTTTTCTCTTTTTCAATTTGTTAAATGTATTGTTGATCATTGTTTTGTAGATGGATGATGTTTTGATAAAGAATGAAAAGTTAATTATTTAATATGCATGAAGAATCCTTCCTTAAAATTCTAGAGTGAACAAGACACAAATTTTTCTTCACAATTTCTTGGTAAATGGATATTTGTAAATACTTGTTTTCTTCTTTTACAGTTAATCATTGGTGATCAAGATGAGAAGTCAATTGATTTTATCAACCCTGATAAAATGAATCTGGTTGCTGAAGTGTCATCTAAAGTAAGTTTTTGTGTGATTCTATTTATAAAGTCTTATTTCTAAAACCAAGTTCTGACTTGCATGATGAGAATGAGGTATGGGCAGAATACACAGTCTTTGTTTCCTAACTTGTTCCATGTTTTAGACTTGCTGTTTCTTGTTGTTTTGATTTTTGAAAATTATTCTTTTAGTCTAAATAAAGTTGTCTGCTAGACTGTATGTTTAGATGCTAATTTTAATTTCTGGAAGAATTGAAAATATTTCATTCTGTGTTCTGATGTTATTCATAGGCTCCCACAACGTACAATGCCAAAGGCGATGTGAGTATCTTAGCTGTGGACTGTGGAATGAAATACAACCAGATCAGATGCTTATGCGAGCGAGGAGCTTCAGTGACTGTTGTGCCTTGGGACCACAACTTGGACCTGAATGGTGAGTGCTGAACTGGCCTTTTTGTTTTGAGAAGCTAATAAAAGTTTGATGTTATTTAAATTGTTATCCTAGCTTTGATTGTTCTCATTGGACTACAGGTCAGGGCTTGTAGAAGATGGGCAAATTGTGAACGGTATATCATTGCATATAGAATGTAACTTTTTACCCCAAAATCAGGGCTTCAAAGTCACTCTGCGTTATATCCAGGAAATACAAAGTTAGACCCCGGAACCCCAGTGGGGGCTTTGGCTTTCTAGAAATAAATTAGACAACTTTTCAGTGAAGATCAAAGACTGCTTACGAAAAACAGGTAAATAAAAAAAATAACTTTATTTTGTTTTGAAGTGTGACTATTAATGATATACCCACAAACAAAGGTGATGACGCTTGTCATTGAAAAGTTAAGAATTCCCCAATGATGATTTATACTAAAATTATGGTTCTCAAATTTATGTGCATCCTATATATGATGATTTACTGTATAATATATTTATAATGTTTTATAATTTAAAAGTACAATTAATTTCCAAAAATACTTCCAAGACTTGTCTAAGTATAATCTCGAATAATGGAATGACAGCACTTTGAATGAAACACCAGTTTTATATTCCTTGTTATCTGGTGTGGTAGCCCAGGATAAAAAGTTTGGGATTTGTTCTCCTTTTCAGACAATATTCACAATTTTTCTGTGTGTAGAATCATAGCTTGTTGGGGTTTCATAAAATGGGCTGAGACAGGCTCCACTACCATTGTTGCTTAGTCACCTGGGAGCTTTTCCTTTACCCTCTGACATCCAGACTCTAAAAACTAAAGCTCTTTGGGAAGGTGAAAAGTACAATATATTTGTCAGTGGTAGGACTACTTCTCAACAAAATGCTGATGAAATGTTAATATGTATACAAGAGAGGTGTTCAGGCAAATAAATACCTATGACAATACTGATATATGAGAAATGCAGAGGTAGACAATTTAATGTCATTAACTGATGCTGGCTAGGAAAGTGTTACAAGAGGTGAATAGCCATGACCAAAGAGGTTATGATACTTCTAAAGCGGAGGGCAGTTATGTCACCCTTATAAATGAATGGAGGCTGTGCCCACTTTGGGATACTGAGAGTTCATACCAGAGAGTGCAAGAACTAACTCCAAAATGCTGCGCGGCCCTTGCAAGGCTTGTAGTTTATAGGTCTTTCTGAAGTAGTGTGAAGAGACGACTTCCCAGCATTTTGTTGATTTTTTCAAAGGGTTTTCATTTTGCTGTTGTTGATTAATCATGTACTGTACACAGTACACGCTTACACAGTTCGGAACAAACTGATCAATTATGAGAAACAGATGTAAATTGAACATGGGCAGGAAGTGAACAAGAGCTTTTGTATGTTTCATTTTCTTTTTCAAGGTGGGTGGCGAGAAGAGACAGATTGAGCACTTGAGGATGCTAATAAAAAGAGCACAAAATGGATTTGCTTATGTAATATATATATATATATTTTTTTATTTTTTTTTGTTCCTTTGATCAACGTTTTTCAGAAAAATCAACTCAGAAATAATTCTTAAATGGACATAATGGGTGTTGAGGCAAGAAAACACACTTTTTTAGAAGCCAAATGGCCCGAAAAATGCAGGTTTCTTCGATTTCATTATTTTGACGAGCGCTTGATTTCCCCAGGAAATATGTAAATATGTGTATCCTCTTTGCTCATGCATAATGCTTACATAATGTATACATTACAAACATTCTCTTCATTTATTGCGGTCAGGGGTAATCTAATAATTTTTCTAGTTAAGTGATATTAGAAGGGCAGAAAGAATATTTATTACTCGTTGCTTGAAAGGGGAGGGATTTTGTTATTGCAAGATAAGCCATGTATGTCAGTAAGATTTGTACATTTGGATTGAATATCTATTGGAAGAAGGCTAAGGAACAAACATATGACTTCTTTTTTCTTTTGAAATTGATTTATACGCATGTGTTGCTTTCATAGATTCCTAGGTTTCAAATATTGTTTACTTTTTCAGACTATGATGGCCTCTTTATTAGCAATGGACCAGGTGACCCCACCATGTGTGCGAAGACAATTGCCAACATAAAGAATATCCTCAGCAAAGACAACTGCAAACCTGTCTTCGGCATTTGTCTGGGACACCAACTTCTCTCTTTGGCAATTGGTGCTAAAACTTTCAAAATGAAGTAAGCTATTGCGTATGAAATGGCGAATATAATTTTGGCTTGATGTAGCAGAACAAGATGGAACCGTATTGTAGCTTTCTCTTTAGACATACTTTGATGCTATTATTTTAGAATTATACATAAAAATTTGAAAGGTTTAGAGTTCATTCAATTTTCATTCTAGTATGCACAAATCACGCACTGATCCCCTCTGTGATTTTGTGTGTGTGTGTTGGGGGGGTGTGCCCCCCTTTAGCGGGGGGAATAGTAATCTTTAACCCTGAAGGGGGATGTTTATTTTGGTGCATCATGTCTACCTTCTTTCCTCCCTTTGTCATTTTCTTTTATTCATACCAGTCTGGTTTTGAAATTATTCTTCTGTCCCTACATGAAAGTAAAATGCTCACTTTAGCACATGTGTTCAAACATTTTTGGGGACTTGGCTTGTTCAAACTTACTCAAGGCTCTAAAAGATTCCCCTCTTACCTCTTAAATTGTTTATCAGATATGGAAACCGTGGTCACAACCAGCCTTGCATGTATGAAGAGAGCATCCGCTGTTACATTACAAGCCAGAACCATGGTTTTGCAGTGGACACAAGCTCCTTGCCAGATGGATGGAGTCCTCTGTTCACCAACGCCAATGATAAGACAAATGAAGGCATTGTCCACAATGAGTTGCCAGTCTTCACGACTCAGTTCCATCCAGAGAACCGGGCTGGCCCCCAAGATTTGGAATTGTTGTTCGATGTTTTCCTGGAGCAGGTTCGCTCATTCAAGCAAGGCAAAACAGTGTAAGTGTCTCGTTTGGCATTGTGCCGTGAAAGATAACTAATTATTTTGACCTTGGGTACATAATAAGAAGTAAAGATATCTCAACTTGCAATGCTCATGCAACAATGATACCTTGTTCATGAGCAGTTACTGTGAAAACTAAGCCACACTTGCATAGTTTCCCCTTCTTATACATGTGTTGAATAATATTGATTTCTTCTTTTGCTCAGCTTCAGAGCTGATATTTTACATTTACTTACAAATGGTTTACTTGGCTTCTTGAGGAATCCTAATGAATTGGCAATTTCTAACTAAGATTGCCTGTGGCAATTATGTCTCTTGCAGAGTTAAAAACAAAGGCTGTGGTAAGATATTATGTATAAATGTACTTTTTCTCTTCAGACCAACTGTGAAGGAGAGAATTTACATGCATCATATATGTAGTTTTTCTTTAGACCAACTTTGAAAGAGAGAATTTACATGCATCATATTATAATGTATAAATGTACTGTTTCTCCTTAGACCAACTGTGAAGGAGAGAATTTACATGCATCTTCGCACAGAAGGTATCCCCATGGAAGTGTCAGAATTGCCACCACCGAAAAAAGTTCTTATCTTGGGGTCAGGTGGTCTTTCTATTGGCCAGGCTGGGGAGTTTGATTACTCCGGATCACAGGTTTGATTTTTGTTCTCAGATTCGTAAATATGCAGGATGATTTTAAAAAAGAGTACACCAAAATCATCACATGATATTTCAAAAACGAAAAACAACAGAAAACTCTAGCTTGGACACATGTTTTTTAATTTCATGTTTTTCGGGTACTCAATTTGGCCACCACCGGCAGCACGGACAACATCAAGCCGATATGAGAATTCCTTCCAAAAGCACCTCAGAATGTCTCTGTCCACTGTGTTGATTGTCTGTTATTCGATCTTTCATGTCATCGATATTTGCCGGAAGTTGTGGAATGTAAACTTTGTTTTTAACATACCCCCACAAGAACTGGCTATTCACCTAACTGCAAGCAGATTCGAATGACTTCAATTTTCAACAAGATGGCATCTCGGAGTTCAAGATTATCTGAATGAAAACGCCTCAGGAGTGGATTGGTAGGAGAGGAGCTATAAACCTGGCTCTTGCGCTTGGCCTGCCAGATCCCCCAGACCTCACAGTGTGTGACTTTTTCTTGTGAGGGTATGTTAAAGACAAAGTTTTATGTTCCACCACTTCCATCAAATATTGGTGACATGAAAGATCAAATAACAGCTGCATTTGACACAATGGACTGAGACATTCAGAGATTTTGTATTGTTTTTTACTTTTGAAATAGCACATGGTGATTTTGGTGTATTCCTTTTGAACCTCCCTGTATGTTGTGTTTGTAGGACATTGGGGTTTAGAAAGAATTTGTTTTTCGTGATAATGCACTAGAAAATATGCGAGAAATGAAGAGCATGTTATTCTTTTTCTAAAAAACATTTCTTACTTTTTTGTTCCAATAAAGCGTGGTCTTGAGGATTGGGTCAGTAGTATATGTATGTATTCATTTATCATGTTCAGTTTTCTGCTCCTATTGGGCTGAAATGGTAATTAAAAAATGGTTTTTGTGGATTTTTAGTTTTGGAATAACCCGAGTTTTGCTTTTTAAAAACAGCGTGTCACATTATCCTTTTTAAAGGGTTACAGATTTGATTGTAATGCCTTTTGCTTTGATGACACTGTGGTTTCAGAAAATTTTTAATTTTGTTCATTGTTTTTCCACTTCTTAAAACTGATAAATGCTTATGAGTACACTGGTAGCTCAGTTACACTGGTGTGTTGAACTATTCTTTCCTGAGCAATGGCTTGCTCTGAACTGTACCGTAATCCTATACCACTCATTTACTTTTGTTTTCTTGATCTTTGCTATCCTTTAAATTTATTTTCTTATTCAATAACCAAAAGAAAAGGCCCAATTGTTTCTGCTTTTATCTCGTTTGTATGTCTTCTATGTTTTACTTTCTTTTCCAGGCCATCAAAGCTCTCAAGGAGGAAAACATTCGCACTATCCTCATCAACCCAAACATTGCCACGGTTCAGACCTCTCAAGGATTGGCAGACAGAGTGTACTTCCTCCCCATCACTCCTGATTATGTCACGCAGGTTTGTAGCTATTTTAATGTTTTCTCTGGTTCTCTCCTCTCAACAGCTTTGTGGGTATTTTGTTTTTTATGTTGTGTGCTGATTTCAGTTTTCCACATTTTGTTCACAAAGTCATATGTAAGGCGCTCATCAAAATAATATAATATAAATCTGAATTTTTCTAGCTGTTGGGCAATTTTTTTTCAAATTTTCTTTTTTTTTGGCACTCAGTACCTTCTATGTACATTTAAGAACATATTTCTGTGTGAATTTTACTGAAAAATGTTAATCAAAGATACAGAAAATGTAAATTTGCCTTTTCCAAGGACACAAGTTTTTTTGAAGTCACCAAACTTTGGTTGTCATTTTCTCACTTATTTTACCTTTGACACCAGCCAACCTCCACCTCCTTCAATAGCAAATATCTTGACTTTTATTCAAGGTAGATGGGCATTTTTTTCACCAAATGCAAGACTAATGAACAAACTTTAAAATGATACATTGTCATATAAACAAACTTTAAAATGATATTGTCATATAACTCCATATGCCTAAAAACTGACGAATGACTGATTCCATGCGTAGTAACACGTATCTTGTCATACGTGAATGTCCTTTCATGTGCAGTTCACACTACTGATGTTTTAGAACAAAATAGAACTTAGTGGCATACAAGCTGTCTGAAAGACTGCTATTAGGTATCTGAAATCTTTCAGGCAATGTAAATTTTGATAGAATATTGAAGAATCTCTGAAACCTTGGAATTACTTTTTAAATTAAAATAGAAATTTTAGAAGTTGGTCAGAGTTCACAGTTTTATTCTCTTTTCATTACTTGACATGTGATATCTGATATGTAGAAAGTAATAGTTTACACCTACAAATAGAACACGTAAGTGCTATATCTTGTCAAATCGCTTGTTTCAGGTTATCAAGTCTGAGCGTCCTGATGGCATACTACTGACTTTTGGTGGTCAGACTGCTTTGAACTGTGGAGTGACCCTGACAAAAACTGGTGTCTTGGACAAGTTTGGCGTAAAAGTTTTAGGCACTCAGGTGGCTTCTATTGAGTGGACAGAAGACCGCAAAATTTTTGCGGACAAGATGGCTGAGATCAATGAGTCTGTTGCTCCAAGTGAAGCAGCTTATTCTCCTGAGCAGGTAGGTCTCTCTTTGAGTAAATTTCCTCTTTGGAAAGTGGTGGCACAGAGTTCCACCCGTCGTATGGATACAATAGTAAAACATGACGTACGGTTAGGGTTAAATAACGGAATGAAGTGTTTATTTTCTTCTTGTTCACAGATTTCAAGTAAGGTTTATAGGGTAGTCAGGTTTCTGCCTCTGAAAAAAAAATTTGTTGAAGCTGTACTTAAGCTGCTTTACGTTCAAGTTCTTTTATACAGCTACGATGTTGATCTTATATTGATTTGAAATACAGTAGTCGCTGCCTTAGAGTCAGGTGCTTGAGAGCAAGGAAAATGCAGGATCTTAGGTGAACAGGATCTTAACCAAATCATACAAGAGAAGAATCCACAGTGACTCATGGTTAGGCCCGAGGTTGGTAAAATGATCTCCCCTTACTTTGGAATGAACCGCGGTGACCACTGGGTGGACTTACTACTTATGGGGAGCAAAAAGTTGTCAAGTTTGATGACCAATCACAATGGCCTCTTAAGTTGATAAGGCATGCCATTTTCTCTTTTCCAATCGTAAGTCTCTAGATCTAGGTAGATCCTATTGCCCCTTCCCCTTTTCCTGTCCAAACCTTATAGCTATTCATCTCTGAGTTCATGCTCATGCCTTAACGCATGGAAGAATGAAAGGCAGGTTCATGGCCAACAGATAACCATATGAGGTAACGGAGATTGGACTAGTATGGGCGTCGGTCTGTCTGCTAAATTTGTAGGTCTGAAAGACAAATGTATAGGATAGGGGAACAAAAGCACCAATGAGTTCGCATGTTGATTATGTTGATTTGATCCCTTCTGATGTAACCTTGCAGACCCTACCCACCCAGGATGTGGTAAAAGTTTGGGTGGCAGGCTCAAATATGAGTGCGATGTTTGGGGAAAACAAATAGGTCAAGGAGTTCACAACTTCGGTGTGATCCCGTGTGGGGTAAACATTGTGCCCACTCATCGAGATTTACTATGGAGATGTGATAGCATTCATGAAAGTGGAGGATCTGTGACACAATGAGCCGTACAATGATTTAAAATTTTCACTCCTTTGTTGATCAGCAGTTTGGGCCTGGGTTTTTGTTCAGTAAATTATGATCTAAAATGGTGCTTCCAATCTTCCTTATTTTTATGGAAATCTGTAATTTATGAAAATTCTATACTTTCAACCTTCTCAAAGTACTGAATTTCAATTTGTTTAAGAGCTTCACCCCTCTGATCCCCCATCGGGACGCCGTCCCTGGACATTACAGGGGGCCTGTGCAGCCCCAAACCTGTGGCAGAGAATTTCTTAGCTCTTTTTATGGCACTTCAGATCAGTTGTGTTTTCAAAATTCTGTCTTCTTAAAGCTGTGGGATCTTAGGTGGAAACTGTTGTGTTAAGAAATGTTTGGTTAGTAGTCTCACATTGTGAGAGTAGATTTTGATGCATGTGTACAAATTACTGTTATTAATTATTTCAGGCTGAACAAGCAGCAGAGAGACTAGGCTATCCAGTTCTGATCCGAGCAGCCTTTGCTTTAGGTGGCTTAGGGTCTGGCTTTGCAGAAAATCGAGAGCAACTGATGACCTTGGTTTCAGCTGCTTTTGCTCATACCTCCCAAGTTCTGGTGGACAAGTCTCTGAAAGGCTGGAAAGAAGTGGAGTATGAGGTTGTTCGGGATGCATATGACAACTGTATCACAGTGAGTACATGTACCTTTTTTTATTGATGGTCAAAGATCTTGTCTTACTTGTATATGTGCATGTATGATGTGGCGGGGGTGTAATTCTTTAAGTTATGTTTGATGGTGCTTTTACATTTATGTCCTCCGTAAAGTCTGATTTTTTAAAACTTTTTTTTTTGCTCTTGATCTAGTGGGTTTTTGTAGCATTCTTCACTTGTTTAGTCACTTCTAATATTAATTATGAATTTTGTTTAACTGTGTTAATTAATTTTGCAAAGTTCCAATTGTTATCTGTCATAATGTTTGTAAAGAAAAAAAAAGGGAAAATTATCTCTATGATTTATTCCTGTAAGGAAATTTAATTTTTTCGATGGCATGTTGAACCTAGTGCTTACATAAAAATATTTCCAGGTTTATGTCTGTCTATGGTCATGGACACAGTCTCAACTACATACCAGTGCAGTGCCTTGTTTTTGAGCTGAAGATATTGCTTATTCCACTGTGGCACACCCGAAGGTCACACTCTTCTAAAAGCCATTTCACTAAGCCACTTGTCAAGTTGTTCTCATGCAATGAAATTCAAGTTGTTCCTTTTGTTTTGATGTAGGTGTGCAATATGGAGAATGTTGACCCCCTGGGCATCCATACAGGGGAGAGTATCGTGGTGGCCCCCAGCCAAACTTTGACCAACACTGAGTACTACATGCTGCGCTCCACGGCCATCAAAGTTATCAGGCACCTGGGCGTTGTGGGAGAGTGCAACATTCAGTATGCCCTCAACCCCTTATCGCAGCAGGTATATTGCAAATGTCTTTCTATTTGTTCTTAGGATTTTGTTTTTTTGTTGTTTTTAATTTTTTTTGGAGGGGGGAGGGATTACAGCTTTGTGCTTTAAAATGTTCAGTAATGGTGGTATGTGAATGATGGGTGGTTGGAGGTACCACTTTTACAGCCTTTATTTATGTCTGCCTTTTTTTTCCTGCCAGCACTAAATGACCCTTAGTGTGCAATTGTTCTTCTCTGCTTCTGTTTAGCAGAGGCAGTTGCTGTTTATCAGAGGCAATGAAAACACTTCTTAAGAATATTTCATAAATTTGTATTGGGGTTGAACCCTATGAAGTTGTATATTTCTGATCTACCTCATGATGTCTGTAAAAAGAACTTTGTTAAATGTAAAGGAAGCTATCTTTTTGGGGGGGGGGGTTTTTGACACCTGATGTGTGTATTGCTTTCTTTTTTTTCTCAACTCAGTACTACATCATTGAAGTGAACGCACGACTCTCAAGGTCTTCAGCTCTGGCCAGCAAAGCCACAGGCTATCCACTGGCCTATGTGGCAGCCAAGCTGGCTCTGGGTCGACCACTCCCCGTGTTGAAGAACTCAGTGACCGGCTCCACTACTGCGTGCTTTGAGCCCAGCCTGGACTATTGTGTGGTGAAGATACCACGATGGGATCTACGCAAGTTTTCCAGAGTCTCCACCAAGGTTTGTTGTGGTTGCTGTTTGAAAATTTGTTATCGTAATAAAATGAAATATCTCTGGTGCCTAAATTGATTAAGTTTCGCTAGTGTGAAGCACAATATATATGAGAACCCTTGCCTTAACACTGGTGTGTCACATGTTTTACCTTCATTATTGGGTCTCATATTTTGACATTTTCAAATTTGTACAATTGGATTATTACTGTTTCCATTTTAGCCCATTTTGACTTCTTTTAAAAAAATTTTAACAGATTGGCAGTTCCATGAAAAGTGTTGGAGAAGTCATGGCCATTGGCAGAAAGTTTGAAGAAGCTTTTCAGAAAGCTCTTCGTATGATGGATGAGAATGTGCTTGGATTTGATCACACCAGCCAAAAAGTCTGTGAGAAGGTAACTGTTGTTGTTTTTTTCTGTACTTATGATATTCATTGAAAAATTTAGTTTCATTGGGTTGGTAGGATTTCATGTTGTTGTAATGTATGGATTTTGTCATTGTACCAGAGCTTTGAATCTTCCCGCATTTTTATGGAAAACTACTTTCTAAAAGTTCTGTACTTGGGTAGGGCTACCAGTATTCCATAGCAAAGGATCTGTACTTGTCTTGGAAAAAATCAGGATATTTATGGTAAAACTCTTGGCAATAAGTTTATGTTATAGAAACTTGCCAGATTGCATATTTCTTGTATTCGGCCATTACCCCATATGCATTCATTGCTGGTTGGTCGGCAATACATTTTGACCTGCAGATTGGTCAAAATCTGGCTAGTCGTGATATCGATCTTTTTGTGTCAATATCCTCCTTTCTTTCATTCACCCATTCTTTCTTGCATCGGTTTGTTGCTGCAGCTGGAAAATCTGTGGGTTGATGAAGTGAATTGAACTGTGATTTTAGAAGAAAAAAAATCTCTATCAGAAAAAAACTTTTTTTCAAATTTATCTAGATCTAGAGATATAATGTCAGTGTGATTCTACCAGAGCGTGATCAAGTATTATGATAAAGGTCGCGATGAAAGAAATCTATTTATATTATTCTAAAACTTCTAAATTAGGAATAATTAGGAAGTGTTGTTGCGAGGTTATGACATTTGTCATTCGAATGTGAAAATGGAGGATAATAAAGGATACATGCTGGGTGACTGTATCAGCAAAATTGATATTCATTATTCCCAGATTTGCCCATTGTCACTAGTGCTACGACAAATGGAACTAGGCCTATATTAGCAATGGCAAGAGGAAGTTGCTCTTTAAAAACGTTGCCAGCAAGGGAAATATATGTAGATGAAGAAATCAAACACGACAAAATCTTGCTGAAAAAAGTACATCTTTTGGGTTGTTGGCAATCTCTTCAGACAGGCTCCCAAATGTCCTTTTCAACCCCCTATAAGCACTAGAATTTTCTTTAGTTTTCAGCTTTGTCTGTCATACACTGTTATACTTCTGTGTGTGAAGCTTAGATAATGTGTTCGTTACTTCTGTCTTCTTTCTCCACGGGATGTTGTGGCTAGACTTTCGTGTTTGAAGCCTTCTGTCTCATTGATTCTTACATGTTACTTTCTCCAACTCTTATAAAAATGTGCGAAGTTTGTAACTAAATTGTTTTATATACTTTCCCTTGACTTTGACAGGAATTGCGAGATCCAACGGACAAAAGAATCTTTGTACTGGCTGCAGCATTGAAAGCAAACTTGTCCATCGACAGACTGTATGAACTGACCCGCATTGACTGCTGGTTCCTGCACAAATTTCGGAATATCATCGACAAGGTCAACGAGCTGGAAGGGTACAAAGGAAAGGTATGCTGTTAATAGTTTTTGTTTGCCTTTTCTGCTGATTTGAGCATTAAGACTATCTATCAAACAAATTAAGAGTTTACTCAATTATAAAATGTTTATTGGCTAGTAAAGAGGGTGTACCCTGTGACAATCCTGAACAGTCGCGACTCAATGACACTATTGCTACACACAAGGAACATTGCTGTGATATAGCATTCCATTATATTCTGTACCAGAGTACCAATTTCTAGGCTTTTTTCAGATTTTCTTTGATGAAAGACGTTTTGTTGTTTTCTACTCTGAGCGGATCAATGTTTATGTGTATCCTATGGGTTGTTGGCAGATGCTCTGGTGTGGTTTGCTCCTTTCCTATCAAACATCTGTCTTTCTTACATCGTCTCCTTTTCTTTGTGTCTTATTCTCTTGCATCAACTCTAATCTTTGGCACTTATATGACCTATTTGTGTTCAAGTGCTGTGAAAATCTTTATCATCAATAGCCTCTGTCACCCTGGCATTGGGTATAGGCCACTTGTCTCTATTCTGGACGACCTTCTCCACTTCCAGCCAGCCGTGTCCCAAATTCTTGAGATCTTCACATCGCATATCAAAATTTAAGTCAGCAGGTGTGCTTTCTTTTACTGTGCAGTGAGTACGAATACACGGACACAATAAATGAAGGGAGGCTCTCAGCATACATGTATCTTCGCACACTTCGTGAGCAAAGCGCAGTTATTTTGCCAAATTTCTAGTTCTACTTGACCGTTAAATTGCTTTAAAGACATTTTATAGACCCTTTGAAATTATTCACCTGTCTTAAACTGCTTTTTTAAAGTTGCCGTTTAAATATTAACGGTGTTGTCAAAGGTTTTGGAGACAATATGGCTGGCTGATTGATTGGTATTCAATTAGAATAGAAGTTGATCCAAATCTGAGGGAAACTTTGAAGTCATTTTTCAAAAAACTTTATTTCAGCACCCACTTGAGAAAATTAACCAGATCTCACACAGAACTGAAGCTATGTTAAAAATTTAAAAAGCAAATTGTTCAGAAATGATTTTTGTTCCAGAAAATGCAATAAAATGCACTTCCTCAAAATGCATCATACGGTACCTTACACCAAGCACACACAAATATCTTGTTTGACAGAAGATTAGTCTGCTTGATGACTTCTTGTTGGCTCTATATCACCAGGCTTCATATGATCTCCAACAGGGTCTCCCACGATTAGTAAAACTCATACTAAAACTAAAATTTATGTATATCATGACATCTTATTTATACTGTTGAACTCGACAGGCAAAGGATCTTCCGGAAGATTTGCTGCTGTCAGCGAAACAGCTTGGCTTCAGTGACGAGCAGATTGCCCATGCTGTGTCCAGGTAATGATGAATGCACATCATTGTTCTGTTCATTGTGTTGTACATCTAGCCAACTTTAAACGTCAGGGACAAATATTTGAACAGAAGACAGGGGCAAAAAAAAAGAGGAAATTTAGGACCCCGTTTTAAGCCCTCCGTTGCTGAGATGTTTTCATCTTTGTACAGAAAAGATAATATGCTCTCAAGAGAGAGAATTAAATAAAGCTGTTGTAATAGAACAGCGCCTGATGAAGAGCTTTATGTTTAGTTAAAGGGGGGGGGGGGGGGGGGAAGGAATATTTCGAATATTTCTTCTGAGACTGGTTGTCAATGTAAGATGAAAAGTCCACTCAGTGTGAAAGAAGGTCTATAATTTTGAAATTATTAAGATATTGTCGAAGGATTTTGTCTTCAATATACTCCCTGTATGTTTAGAAGAGTTCAGAAGTATTTTATTTTTATCATCCAGCACCGATCTTGTGATTCGGAAATGTCGCCTGGACCTTGGCATCACCCCTTGGGTGCGCCGGATTGACACCGTTGCGGCTGAGTGGCCAGCCAGCACCAACTACCTGTACCTGACCTACAGCGGGTCAGAGCATGACCTTGACTTCCCAGGAAACCATGTGATGGTCCTGGGCTCTGGCGTTTATCGCATCGGCAGCAGTGTGGAGTTTGACTGGTGTGCTGTCAATTGCATCCGCACTCTCAGAGAGGTAAAGTTCTCTTTGTGAACGTTGTGCTTCCGTTGAGAGACGTAATGTTCTGTAGGATGTCATTGGTTTTCCTTTACCTGTGTCCATATTCTAAGCGGGTGGTTGAAGGATGCCACAGATAGGTCCAACTAATGCAAAAAATGTCCAACTAATGCAACTAGTGTGTGTGTGTGTGTGTGTGTCCCCCCCCACCCGTTGTCTGTTTTGTCTGTCTGTCTTGCTTATTCATGGCACTAAATGACTGTTAATGTGTTGATGTGCTTCTCTCTACTCAAACAAACCAATAAATAAACCATATTATAAGGGAGGTGAATTTCTTTGTGAAGTGACTGATGTGTGGTTGACTGCTTCGGTATTCTCAGAGACGTAAATTTCTTTCTAAAGTGCAGTTGGTTGCTCTGGTGTTTTCTCTTCCTTCTGCTTCATTATATTATGGTTATTGTTGTCCTTATCTGTTTCGTACAAATATTGCTCTTGTCGTGCTGACACTCTGAACTCTTAATGAAATAATGAACTGTGTTTGCATGTGCGGGTATATATATTTATGTAGATCAATGTGTAGGATAATTTTGTTGACAATGCTCTCTGCTGATGGAGGCTAAAATAAAATTTTAATGAACATTTTTTTGTTGATTACTTGTTTTGGTTTGTTTATTTATTTTCTGAAATACAGTGCTGTACTCTATGGATTTATTTCCATTCTTTTAAAGGAAAAAATCATCAATGCTACCCAGTTCTTCAAAGTTTTAGTTTGAAAAGAATTAAAAATTTTGAATAGAGAAGTGACCAGCTATTGAAGAAAGCTCTGAAAGTGCCACCAACCAGGCTTCATGTGATTTCTGTATCAAGCCGTCAATTTAGTTTCACCATTATTTTGTGTGTTAAAGTTTAGCGCAAGTTGTTTAATTATATATCTCCCCTCTTCATTAGAAATTTTGTCTTGTTCAAGGGGAGCTAAAATCACAGAAAGGGGCACTTATTTTCTCGTATCTTTGACTTCGATATATTCTGTCGCTTTTTTTTCATGTTTGACACTTTTTTTCTCATCACAGATGGGTCACAAAACCATCATGGTGAACTACAACCCAGAGACTGTGAGCACAGACTATGACATGTGTGACCGCTTGTACTTTGATGAAATTTCATTTGAAGTAAGTCATCCCCCCCCTCCCCTATTTTTTTCTCTCTCTCTCTCTCTCTCTCTCTCTCTCTCTCTCTCTCACTCTTTCACTCCTTTGTCTTCCTCTCCTTCTCCCTCTATCCCTCGCATATGATGTTATGAATTTTGTTGAATGCAAACCGTGTTCACACAATTACAATTATGTCAGTTCTATTTTATCTTAATTAACTCGCTCCTTATCCCCTTGTTATTTTCAGAATTAATATTTTCAAAATATATAATTTTGAATCACTGGTTTTAGCTTGAATTAAGGGGAAAGTTTCAAGCTTTAAAAAAGTACTCCTGGTTCTGTTCATTTCGCGATGAGTTACTAATGCAGCTATGTTAGAAAAAGTTACAATTTCAGTCTGTATGTTTGTTTCATTTTTGCTTTTCCTGTTTTGCACAGACTGTGATGGACATCTATTCTCTGGAGGACCCAACTGGGATCATTCTTTCCATGGGTGGTCAACTTCCCAACAACATTGCCATGGGCTTACACAGGCAGCAGGTGAGTTGTAGCTCTGTAGTTACTGATTTTGAACCTGTTTTTCTGCCATACTGATAAAGGTGCGAAAACTAACTATCGAATTTGTGATGGACATGGAGAGTAAAAAAAAAATGGCCTGTTCTCCAGTGTATCCAATTTTCTGTGTTTTTACGGAAATCTGCACATCCCGAAAGTTTCATTTTTGCCGCATCACCATATCAACTTCAACAGAAGGGAAAAAAATGAACAGCATGGGCTTATCATTATTCCATAGCACAGGATTCATACTCGCCTCCGTAACTTCTTGGATATTTACCGTATCTCGTTGAGAAGAACCTGCCACATTGCCTGGTTTGTACACCCGACCATTGTCCCTCTATGCATACATTGTGGGTCGTCGGCAATACATTTTCACTTTCAAAATGGCAAAAATTTGGCTAGTTGCAATAGCAAATCTTCCTCATTTCGTTCATTCTCTCATTCTTTCTGTCAATCCTTGGGTATTTTCTGCAGCTAGAAAATTTGTGCATTGATCAAGGGAACTTAATTGTGAATGTAGAAAAAAAAATCAATCTCGGAAAGAAACTAATTTTTAAAATCTGTCCAGATCTAGAGAAATTTTCACATTGGCAGCAGGATAAGACTACGTTGGAAGAAATTCATGCTTGAATAAAAAAAATTAGTGTAAGTGGTGCTCTGAGATTGTGACATTCAACAGTCAAGCAGGTAAATGGACGAAAATTTGTAGAGTACAAGCTTGGTGATTGTATTGTCAAGATTGGTGTGCCAAGATTTGCCTAATGTCAATGGTGCAATGGCAAATTTAATTATATAGGGATGTAAATCTTCCGGCTTTTTCCGTTTTTTTCCAGCCGACTTGCCATTTGGGCACCAGCTTTTGACAAAAGTCTGCTATAAACAATACATATTATATATACTAAATGGAGATTATTTGTTGTAATAGAGGGAAAGAAACAAATATGATTTAGTCTCACTGTATTCTTATATCAGTCAGTGCGTGCGCGCCGTATATTTTCCGGCTTTTTTTCCAAATTTGTTTACATCCCTGATTATAGTGGCAATGGAAAAAATGCCATTTTCAACCCTCAATAAACACAAAATTTCAATTTCTTCGGGGGTGTTGCCGTCCTCTCCCCAGGGGATCTTGCTTGGGGGCCTGTGCTGGAGGGAAAAAAAATCTTTTTGAGGGGCACTTGAGCTACTTGACGCGATACCAGAGGATAAGATCTGTAACAAAAAAGTTTTATCATCAGAGCGCAACGCAGCATAGCACCCCTATGTTGAATGCTTTGTGTATAGGCTATAGGTCATGATTGTTCTCAAATCCACATTCAATACTGATTGATAGGTACCTTGAACCGCAGTCCATAAATGTTGAAAGAAAAGCATCTCGTTTTATCAACACAGTTCACCTTCACTTATGCACCGCCACACACACACACATAAAGTAAAGACACACATCCTCACGCAACATACAGAGACACATGCAAGGGTGCACACAAGTTTTATCAAAAATATAATCTCATAATGTCTCGAAAAGAAAGCTTGATGGTAACTCTGTTTGTCTTTTATTTTTCCTTCTTTGTCTTTGTACTACCTGATTTTTTTGGTCAAAATACCTAAATTTGCCTGAAATGGGAACTTTGAGGTAGGCAGCCCTGAATATTGAAGAGGCTAGACCTTGGGAATAATACCCTAATCTAATAAGTCATTTGAAGTTTATTAAGAGGACGGAATGAAAACTTGCAAGAACCATGGGTGGTTGGCAGATGCTCTGTTGTGGTTTTGTTCCCTTTCTTATGAAGCATCTATCATTTACATGTTTCTCGTGTGAAGGAATTATGTTTTGACTAATTTTTAAATTTCCTCTTTATTTTCTCAAGGCAAGGATCATTGGCACAAATCCAGACTGCATTGACAATGCAGAGAACAGATTCAAGTTTTCCAGAATGTTGGACAATCTGCAGATCAACCAGCCTCAGTGGAAGGAGCTGTCAACTTCGGATGTACGTAGCTTGGATGTTTCTATAACTACCCAGTGGTGCCATTCTAGTTAGGAAGTGATTGACATGTTGAGAGAAATGGATGTAGGTTTAAAAAATGGAGAGAAAAAAATTGTGTGGTCAAACTGGGTAAAATTTGAAAAATGTCCCCCACAGATGGCCTCAACTCCCAGCAAGCCGCTTCCAGCTGCTCTAGGTCAGAACCGCTGGGCCGATGAGCTGGCATCATTCCTTTATAGCGACTTCGACGACATATTACTTTTTGCCAATTGCCAAAAATAGGTCGCTTTCTCCTCGAGTTCATTCATTGGATGAAGAACTATCAAAATAGGTTCACTTGTTTTAATTTAATGACCAATTTAGTAACATTTTTGTCATTTTTAGATTCAGTACCCCAAAAATGGCCCTTGGAAATAATGAGTTAAGGACCAAAAAAGATGTTGAAAAATTTAAAAAGAGTTTGTGACATGTTTTTTTTGTAAAAAAAGTAAAAAAAAGTATCTTTCTGCAACATTTGCTTTAACTCATGCCAGGCAGGATAACAGCATCCTGCCTTCCATTGGCCGATCTGAGGAATTCAGGAACTTGTCACTAAACCTTGAACCGAGATACCGGTAAAAATAGTCAACTCTGGTCGATTTTTGAGATATGGATACCAGGGAATTCCCCAATCATTTTAGAATTCAAGAGCTGTCTCTTGCAAAAACCTTTAAAAAAAATTTTCCCAATTTATTTTCCATTTGCATTCAAATATTAACTCTTTCTGGACGTATCACCGATTTATAGGCTTATAGAAGTATCGCAATGATGGGGTGCCTCAGTCTTGTCTTGCTGTAATATGATCCTTCATTTTTAAGTACTTACTTTTGTTACCAGAAAACTTGGAAAGGATTTTGGAAATGAAAACATCTAGTTTCTCTTTGTCAGGGTGTCAGTTTGGCGATAAACAAGTGAATTAATTCTTGCAGTACTGCATCAGTGGAATGATGAAACTTGACTCGGTAGAAATATCATAACTCATACATGAATTGGAATATTGCTTTCAAATAAAAAGCTGTGCATTCAGAAATGTGTGAATTATGCTATTGGCCTTTATCTGATTAGACAGCTGTACTGTTTTGCTTTCATGTATTTGGTGAGTCTATTTTTGCATCAAAATTTATTTTTCTCATCATCATCACCCATTCTAATCAGTGTTATACATGATTATAATCAAAATTATTACTTGTTTCTTGTGTAAATGTTTTCCTAATTCAATTTCCTTTAGTTTGATAAGTCACATGTTACGTTTTGAGTGATGGCTATGCTTATATAAAGTTATTTTGTACATGACCTGTACAGCCAAATCGAACCAAAAATTAATTACCTCTGGACTCTAAAATCTATATCTGGAAAGAGTTAAAAAGAACTAATGGTGAAACTTTGAAAGCCTTTTTCTAGGTTTTTACTTTTTTGCTTTTTGTTGCTTCAAAATGCTGTATCTCAGCTTTTAGATAATTGAACAATTTTCAGTGCATATCAGGAAGATTCCAGCATTCAGAAAAGCACAAAAACTCAAAATTGCCCACAGGTGACAAGTTCCTGATTTCCACGGACCGGCTCACAATTGTGTTAATGAGGGTGAAATACATTTACATTAATTTTCTATTTATGGGGATACTTTTAGTATTCATATTTTTTTAATGAATATATCTCTTTCTTACTAGTACATGTACTAAAGGGATATTTGTGAGACTAATTTGTCTAAAGTCATCTGTTAACTTTCTGTATTTCATGAACTTTTTTCTAGGCGGCCAAACAGTTCTGTGATAACGTTGGATACCCATGCCTCATTCGTCCCTCCTATGTGTTGAGTGGTGCTGCCATGAATGTGGCTATGAGCCAGCACGACTTGGACACATATCTGTCCCAGGCTACGGCAGTGTCCAAAGATCATCCTGTCGTCATCTCCAAGTTCATACTGGAAGCCAAGGTGGGTGCTCGGAGATGGTGATGTCTGTTCAGGGGACTAGAACACTGAGCTCACTTGTCTGAAAAATATTGAAAACTTGATGTGGCAATGAGTATTTCAATTCTAAAAATGTTTGGCCTGGTGCATTACTTATTACTTATTTTTTAATGTTGTCCCCACATCCGCCCCGCTATTAAGGAAATATATTTACATTTATTTAAGCTCTTGATGCCACAGGTGGAGTATGGAAGGATTGACCTGCCAACAGTGGCTCTCTACTGGAGAACGAACCAGTAGAAAATTCTAGTCTTATTGAGTTTAAGTATAGGTTGTTCGTAAATGATGAATGAAAAGTGTTGACAGTTTTGTGATAATGTGTTTTACCCTGTTCTGCATTCCTCTGTAGGAGATAGATGTGGATGCTGTGGCTGATGATGGAGAGGTCATCTGTATTGCTGTGTCAGAGCATGTAGAAAACGCTGGGGTCCACTCAGGTGATGCGACCTTGGTCACACCTCCGCAAGATCTGAACGAGGAAACTCTGGCCAAGATCAAGGCCATCAGCTGTGCCATCGGTAGAGCTCTGGAGGTCACTGGACCATTCAACCTGCAGCTGATTGCAAAGGTGATGGTTTTTTTTAATTGTAATATGTTTTTTGTCTTGCTTCTGTGAGTTAAAAGAAAAAGTCAATATTTACTTTAGGTTATCATTGTGGATTTTTAAACTTTTAAGCATTAAGAAAAAGTACATGCATACGATCGACTGCTGTTTTAAGTAAATTTTGATCTCTTGGATCTTACTTCTTGTTCATGTGTGTATTATTTCTGTCTTGGTCTCTGTTGTTGTTCTTTTTTCCCTCATTTTATGGCATAGTCCACTTTTTTCTTACACTTTATATCTAAATGTTCTGTTTTGTTTTTTTTAAACGGTGTTTGTGTTGTTTTTAGACAAGATAAACTTGGGTTGGAGGGGGGCTGCAGGAATAAACCTTTAAAACTGTCATTGTGGCTTTCATAATAATGATAATATGTTTCTTTGAGTACAAACAAATCACTGTGGGTGGTTGGCGGATGCTCTGATGTGGTTTGCTCCTTCTTTCCTATAAAACATCTGTAGTTCTTATCTCTCCTCCTTTTTTATGTATGTTACTCACTTGTGACACATCTATTCTTCGGCACTTATATGACCTTATTGTGTTGCAAGTGCAGTAAAATTCTTACTAAAACTAAAACAAATCACTGAGTTTTTGGGTTTTTTTTCTTTTTTACAGGACAATCACCTGAAAGTGATTGAGTGCAACGTGAGGGTGTCAAGATCGTTTCCCTTTGTGTCAAAAGCTCTGAACTACGACTTTGTGGCCACAGCGACCAAGATCATGATGGGAGAAAAAGTTGACCCGATCAACGTCACTGCAGGATGTGGAAGAGTTGCAGTGAAGGTCTGTTTTGATGGTGCTTTGATCCAGCTATGCATGGTCTTGTAAGAGTGTGAGAGATGGTGTGCTGATGGAGATAAAATTTTGTGTAGCGGTTCAGGAAAGTTCTTCTTTTTCCGGAATGCTTTGTTTCAAGTTGGAGAGCAAAGATCAAAGACAGTGCTTGTGCTCAAATGGCCGTGCTTTGGTGTGCAAAATTGTGTCGGTTTAATGCTCCATGCAATACTGTAAGTAAGCTGAGCCTTGAAACCAAACCAGCAGTCTTACAATAATGAGTCCACTAGGCTACTGATGCCACCTTGCCATGGTGTGTTACTGATTAAACGTATAAGTTTTGAAAAGTACAATAATCAGGGCAGCTTTTCAGTGGCTTTTTTTTTTTACATTTCATTTACTTGAAGTGTATACAAATAACCATTTGGGGGGGGGGGGGGGGGGGATTTTCATTAGTGTTTTACGGTGCTCGCAACTGCATGAGGTCTTTTTTTTGTTTGAGAGTCTGGTCGCGTGCTACAGACTGGGAATGTGACTGGTTTAGAGCATCACCATTGTTCAAAATACTTAACCAAGGAGTGCTGGTTGACACGCCGTATGTGGTGTGTGTGTAGGATGTTCATCTTCAATTCGACCCAATGCTAGCTTAGTAAATCTAATTTTGTTGTTTTGTTTTTTTAACGGACAGCAGCAGCAGCAGAAGGAGGAGGAGAAGGAGAGGAAGAGGAGAAGGAGGACTTACACGGGATTGGCCATGTAGGATATAAAAAATGTCAGCGGCTCGTAAAACTCCCACCTGACGGACTTTGTACTAGTCCATCTTGACATTAAAATTTGCCACTGTCTCTCTTCTGGGAATTGCCAGTCGCACGCTGCTAAACGTCGCGTTGCGCCTAAAGAGACACTTTTGTCGCATGCGACTGAAAATTTTTGGTGTGATATGGTCGCTCATAAGGATACACACCTAGCTACTTTCGCGAGCAACTAAATGTCGTGTCGCACACAAGGAGACATAGGCTTAAGATTGCCACTTTGGCACTTCCTTGGAATTTTAGATACAATATTGTATCCTTTAATAAAACTTTTGGGGGGGAGAGCTACTTGTATATGGCAGACCTTGTCCTGCTTTATAAATGTGCCTGTAAAGGAATGGGGCGAGGAAATGCAATAAAAGCCTTAAAGCGTCCTATTTTCCTTAAAATGTGCCGACATATTTAACTCAAAGGCTGCTTTTTAGATGTAATTCTTTTCTATGTGAACAAATGTTGGTGTTTGGACTTTTATCTTTAGCTCTTCAGTGTTACTCCTTTGAAATTTTGTTCCTAAATTCAGCCTGTTAATCATTTTCAGGTCCCTGTGTTCTCTTTCTCACGTCTACAAGGAGCAGATGTCTTGTTGGGAGTTGAGATGGCAAGCACTGGGGAGGTGGCGTGTTTCGGGGACAATAGATACGAAGCTTATCTCAAGGCTCAGATCAGCACTGGGTTCAAGATTCCCAAAAAGAATATCTTGATTTCCATTGGAAGCTACAAGGTATAAGATTTTTTAAAAGTCTATTTTTAAGTGGCCTACATCCAGATAAAGTAATAATGGTTGTTTTCTCGGCATGCTTTTAAACTGTCGATAAGGATACTTATTATTTGGCATTGTAATATGAAGGTGCTGGTGATGTAAGCCTTAGCTGAATGTGGGAATGAAGTAGTTTTTGTTTCGAGTTATTGTAATTGTCATCTAGAATGTTTCAACTGTCTTCCAACTTTCAAGCTGGGTTTTTTTCCCTTGAGTTTCATGTTAGTATGAGTGGTTGACTAACATTCTGTGATTATTTTTCATTTTTGCAGCACAAGAATGAACTGATCCCTACCATCCGCAAACTAGACAATCTTGGTTATCAGCTGTTTGCCAGCATGGGCACAGCAGATTTCTATCACGAGCATGGATTCAAGGTGAGTGCGATGTGAGGATGCTAGAAGTAAAAAAAAAAAAAAAGGAGTGGCCCCTTTGTGGAAACTTAAAAATAATTTTCAATGTCTGAGGTGATCTGCATTGTATTTTTTTGTTTCTTGTATTACAGTCTATGTCATGCTTTATGTTTAGTATGTCCGGAATCTTAACCCACTTGGCTTAGTTCACGACCTTGATGATGGTCCAAATAACTGTCAGTGCTCATCTTTCAGATCAAAGCAGTGGACTGGCCGTATGAGGAGCCCTCTGAAGATGGGGTTCGGAACGGAGAGCAGAGGACCATTGCGGACTACCTGTCTGACCACATGTTTGACCTGGTCATCAATCTTCCTCTGAGGACCACCGGCACCTACCGCGCCTCTTCCTTTGTCACCCAGGGCTACAAGACTCGCAGGATGGCTGTTGACTACTCAGTGCCTCTGATCACAGATGTCAAGTGCACCAAACTGTTTGTTGAGGTGGGTATTCCTTGTGTATCTGAAAGTACCTGATTTAAACAGTTTATGTGATGTCATGGTATGCTCATTGTTGTTTCTCGCACAGCAGATGAATTCTTGTTAGGGAAGGTAGTTTTTTTGGAAGCCCTGTCCATATGCTGGGATGTTGGATTTCACTCAGCTAAGAACTTTGAGCATTTTCATGCTGACTTACTGCAAACTACAGCTCATCCGATAGTCAAGGGGTTTGTGTTTTCTTAAACTAACTCAACTCGCAAGTCACTTTTCGGTTTGTTGTCTTCAACTACTTTTGTGCATATTTTCATGTGCTGCCTTCGTAAACTTTGGAGAACATCTCTCTTTAATAATACGTTTAATTGAACAGAATAGTGAGAAATAGTGTTTTGAAAAAGTTGTGGCAAGATTTTCAAAAGATGTACACAAATTTGAAAGATACAATCAATATCCATGATGTTCATATTTTTTAATGCAGGCACTCTACCAGCTGAAATCACAGCCACCTTTGAAGACCAACATTGATTGTCTGACTTCTCAGAAGATCATCAGGCTTCCCGGTGAGTGATACCTTTAGTTTCCTGTGTGGAGATTTGATTCAAACCATGCATTTCTTTGTTATTTTTTATTATATTTCTTTAGTATGTAAAAGAAGGATGCTGTTGAACGTTCTTACTTTTGTCTCATAAGGATGAGGATGCTTACAGTCAGCTTCGATGTGATCTGATTCTTCAGCTCATTTAAAATGTTGCTTTGTCACAATCTGACCTCAGCAAACATTGCTATTTTTGTGCTGATTTGTTTTAACCATGACTGTATGTGTAATTAGTCTGAACTGTTAGAAAACGGCCAACCATTGTCAAAGAGAAAAGTGGTTGTATTGAAAAAAGGACGCCTTGGACAGTGTCATTGTAATATAGAAAACCACCACAATGCGTGAAGTGGGAACTGGTTGTTTGTGCAGGTGGTTGTCTCAGCGAAATTCATACATAACATGAAAATTGCCTCATTTAGCCAATTTTGCTATATATGCGTGCTAGACTGTATAAATATATATGTATAGTAGCTTGCTCTTTTGCTTCAAGTGCAAAAAAAGGCATAAAGCTTGAAACTTACATTTATCATCCTCTTCTGCCAGGTCTCATTGATGTCCACGTGCACGTAAGGGAGCCTGGAGCCACGCACAAAGAGGACTGGTCATCCTGTACTGCAGCAGCCCTGGCTGGTGGGATCACCACCATACTGGCCATGCCCAACACAAACCCGCCAACGGTGGATATGGAGGCCTACAAGTTGACCTCCAAGGTGACCTATGAACAGCATTTACAGATTGTTTGCTGACTGGAAGAGACCATAATGCTAAATTATTTTATGGCCACTCAGTTGTATTTAGAAAGACATTGTGCGAGATTTCCTACCAAAGACACAAGAATCTAGTAGCTTGAGAAGAAACCTTTTGTGAAATGTTGACAAATGGCTTTTCTGGTAATCGCTCTTATATTTTTACCTGAAAAATGATAGGTGAATTGTGCTAGCCAGATGATGTTTAGAGGGCACAAAGAGCCTCATAGTGTCACGTCACAAGTCTCTCTCGGTACTGACATCAGATTGGTGGTTGATTGGATGGAGATCATTTTTGGGATGGTATCTAGTCTATCAAAATCTTTTGCATCAAATGGGAGGCACAATAACATCCATCATTGGAATGATAAGATCTAGCTTTAACTCTTTTTATCCTAGCCATACCCCCACGGACTCTGTACCAGTCCTGGGGCCGCCGCGCCGTATGTGTCGGAAGTCAGTGCGTATAGTTCAAAGTGCTATATTTCTTACATTTTCTCTACGATTTTAGGGAAATTTGGCATTTATGTTAGAAATTGAAAGTAGTTTTTGTAAATGCATGTGGTTAGGAAATACACCAGTAGCACAAAGTAGATTTTGAAGTGTATTCCACCATCGAACTTGACCCTGATTGCCGCGCCCACGACGTCCCACTGGATTTTATAGATCTAGATCTAGCCCTACCCATGTAGTACAGACCCCTTCACCATCATCTGAATCGCTATTAGATGAGTCTAAGTCCTGTTTTTTATCATCCACAACGGAATTTGTGGCACTTATTTATTTCAGAGTCACTTTCATCAAATTAGTATCATTCCCCCTCACAACCCAGCGCCACTTCAAAAAGTACTTCGTCGGCCGTGAATGTGCGTTTTCGAGACATCTTTCAAGCTTCTACACCCATCAAAAACAAAGAAACCACCGTTCATTGGGAAATTAAAATATTCAGACAGAGCTAGCATCGCCGTATTTGCGTATTTTGGTAATTACAAGCAGAACTAGCTTCTTTGACGTGACCGTATCGCTGTTCCGAGAATACTCGTAGCCCGGACTGGTCCTCGTTACGAGAATACTCGTAGCCCGGATAAAAAGAGTTAATATATATATTTACAAAAGTCTGTTGAAAGGTGAGAAGGGCTCTTTACGTATGTTTTAGAAGTTAAAGAAAATATATAATGTTCTCGTATTGTCCACTAGTGTTGAGGATGTAATTGTGTGGAGATAGATGCTGTGGTCAATCATGAGAAGATTTTGTGGCTTGTTTGTCAGGAAAAACCATGATTATTGATATAACTCTAGGACAAAAAGAGATCTGGCTGTAAGTTTGCTTTTCCTGAAGAATTAGATGTTATGTGTGAATGAATTGTCTTTTCTTTCTGTTCAGTTTCACAGGAGCAGCCCTCTTGGCTTCAGGGAAAAATAGTTTTAAAAAACTTTGCCAGCTGATGTATATATTCAAATTTCAGATGGTGTTTTGAAGAGAGAAATAGGAGAACACACCTTCCAGCCCCCCGGTTCATGGCGTGTATATTTATTTAAATGTATTCCTTATGTCTTTCCTGTAGCTTGCCCAGCAAGGAGCGCGGTGCGACTACGGTATCTACGCAGGTGCCAGCAGCAGCAACTTCCTCACCTTGCCTCAGATGAGCAACAAAGTGATTGCCCTGAAAATGTATCTCAATGATACATTCACCACTCTCAAGCTGGACGACATTACTGTCTGGATGAAGGTAGGTTTTGCTCCTAGACTAGATGTTTTGTTTTCTTCCTGTATGTTTTACCTGAGGATAGAACAAAATATAAGAATTGGCAAAGCTACGAGTTGTGCTGATGTAATCAAATGAAAGTAAAGGTGAAGTTAGGAATAAGTATATACTGTCTTGGAGACATTTAAAAGTTTCACGATAGTTCGGTCAAAAATTTGTGGCGCAACTTATTGTCAAATATTTCCTAAACTACCAAACATAGACTCTCCAGATTTTGCCCAATGACTTATATCAATGTCTTAACAGATCAATATTTTGGTAAACACCTGTTAGCTGTATTCTTGAAAATTCCTGAATAAATACTAATAAAAAATCCAAATGGGGCGGTTTCTATGGATTCTAAAAGGTTTACAGCTGGAGCAATATCGCTTTTAAAAGCAAGTCTGTAATTTTTTTACAAATCGTGACACTATCTTTAATGAACGCATGTTTTGAGAACAGTTAGTGCAGAAGTGTTAACTATAAAATTGATTTCTTAAACAAGTTTTGCCACTAAAAAGTGTCATTGGTTAGCTGTGACGTAGACGAAATACGTATACAAAATGTGTGTGTACAGCGTGGCAGAGATTTATAGTATTTTATATAAATTTATGAAGAAAAGAGTTTGAATCTAGCCTCAGTTGTTGTTAAAAAATATGCCAGGAATTTTTTACCGCTCTCCAATTGTCTTATCTTTGCACTTACAGTACAGGTGTGTGTTGAACAGATTAGTAAGTCCATCTGTGCTGGTTAAGATAGTTATTTATGGTGTTCCCAGATATCTTTGATTTTATTGTTGTCTCTGTTTTTGTTTGTTGTTTTTTTCCAATGACCCTCCTGATTATTTCTCAAACATAAAATTGTTAACATTTGATGAATGAAATGTGATTAGAAACTTTATTTCAACTTGATGACAAATTTTTTATTGATGAAAATATTGCAGCACTTTGAACACTGGCCTAAGAACTTGCCCATCTGTGCTCATGCGGAAGACACGACCACAGCATCAGTGATTCTTCTGGCTGATCTGTTCCAGAGACCTGTGCACATTTGTCACTTGGCTCGCAAATCTGAGGTAAAAACATTCAATAAGCCATTGAATCCGAGGTCCGTCTTAACATTGAAAAAGTGTTGTATAGTCAGATGTGCAAAATGTTTGTGTTCTCTTTCAATCATGATAGTTCATAGGTATTTCAGAGAAGTGCTAAGTGTATGGTTTTGAGAAATTGTCCCACATGAAAAGAATGAAGAGATAGAAAAAAGTGTCTTTTTTTTTTCAACCTATTCCAATCAGGGCATGTTTCACATTAGGATATATAGCTGCCAACCAGTATGTACCGCATCGTGATAAAGTCAGGCGTTCATTAAAATAATGAAATTGAAGAAACTGACATTTTTCCTCCTGGTGGGTATTTTTAAAATTGATTTTAAAATATTTGTAAAAAATATTTTTAAAACGCAAGGCATTGTGGTGAAATGAGGCACTCACCATAATAATGAAACAGAGGAAACCGACATTTTCCACCAGTTGGCCTATTTTTATTGGATTTTTGTTTTTTGGCTCAACATCTGTTATGTCAATTTAAAAACACATTCTTGTGTGGATTTCACTGAAAAACATTTATTAAAGGTACACAAAATGTACATTTTCAGTTTCAAGGACTTTCAAGCTTTGGAAGTCGCCAACCTTGGTGGCCATTTTCTTGCTAATTTTGCCTCTGAAACCAGGCGAACCCCAACTCCTTCAATCATAAATATCTTGACTTCTATTCAAGATGGGTGTGTAATTTTTCCCTTTGCTAGACAAATGTACAAGCTTTAAGATGATGCTGATAACTCCATATGCCTGAAAATTGACAAGCATCTGATCCCATTTTTTTTTTTCCTCAACACCTTTATGTTCATTTTAAAACACAGTTATGTGTGGGTTTTACTGAAAACTTTGATCAAAAGCACAAAAAACATAAATTTGCAGGTCCAAAGGACATTGGCGGCTATTTTCTCGCAAATTTTACCTCTGACACCAGGCAACCCCCACCTTCTTTAATCACAAATATATATCTTGCCTTCTATTCAAGATACATAGTTTGATATTTCATCAAAAGCAAGACAAATGAACAAGCCTTAAGATAATACCAATAAGTCTGTTTGGCCAAAAAATTGACAAATGACAGACTCCACCGTGTCATGACACGTCATTTAATACACGTTTGAGAATCTCGAGTATGTTTTCTAGGATTGCTAAATAAAAATTGTGAACTTTCAAGATGTGCTTTGCAAATAATGAGATCAAAGCTGACAGGTTGATTGTAGTTGTGTCTGTTACCATAGTTAACTATTGAGCATGAATTTTTTGAATGCAGCAAAATGTTTGTGAAGAGTATTGGGGGGGGGGGGGTGTTCTCCAGTGATCACGACCTTGACCTGCCGTGTGGGTAGTCTTTTTTTTTTCATTTTGAAAAGTTGGCAGCTATAAGGTTGTTTGCCCCTGGGCTTCATATAGTATCTTTTGACTCTTTTACTTGAGTATGTAATAAAAATGATGTAAATTTCGTGCTTTCTTCCCAAACTTCCTTGGTTACTGAACATGGCCACAAGAACATGACAATGTTATGTGATAAAAGTTGTAAAATATATGGTCAGCTATGTGTGTCCTTGAGGAAGATGCATTCTTCCTAGCTCAAAACAGGGTGTTACAGTGTGAACCAGCAAGGCCTTTTTACTTTGCTTAAATTTTCTTCTTAGTTAATGCCTTGTTATGTAACTTTATTTGTGGTAGAACACTTGAAGATGAGGAGATTGAGCATGGTGTCTTCAGAGGAAGTGGCAGAACCAGCATGGTACAGGGGATGAAAAGACTGGTTATTAACCAAATGAACACCGGAACGATCAGCAGATGGACTCTGAGGTGGATATTGGAGCGGGGAACGGAGCGCGTATGGCAATGCCCGAAGTGCTATGTTGTTGTTCCCAGGATCAAGTAATCAAGTAATTTGTGGTAGAAAAAATAAAGCAGTTTTGTTTTCTTTGCTTTTTTAGATATTTAAATCAGCATTGTGTCCATAGTTATGTGATCCTCATTTTCAAAGTTCTTTGAAAGGAGAGTAATAAATTTCCTATACTGATGTCAGAGCCTTTATATACTTTGCCTTCATGTGTTGTAGATCATGGTGGTGAAGGCTGCCAAGGAGCGCGGTCTGAGCGTGACGTGTGAGGCTGCACCACACCACTTATTCCTCACCTCCGAAGACCTGACCTGCATTGGAGCCCTGCGGGGACAGGTCAAGCCACCTCTAGTCACCAAAGAGGACCAGAAAGCTCTGTGGGACAACATGGACATCATTGACTGCTTTGCCACTGACCATGGTAAGGAGAATATCAGGTTTTTAGTGTATTTTTGCTTGTGAGACGTAGTTGTAGGATGTATTAATGTCTTCTTTTTCTATTCATGTCTTCTGTCTGAGAAGACTACACCATATCTCCCTTTGCCTGACAGTTCATTTAAAGCTGTAGCCTGAATCCCCTTTGGGGAATGTTCAGTGATGCTGCCATTTAAATGTTCGCCCTTCACTAAACATTAAATCATTTTTCCTTTGCCAGCGCCTCATGCCGTTGAGGAGAAGAACAGTGCCAAACCTCCCCCTGGTTTCCCCGGCCTAGAGACCATGCTGCCTCTCCTTCTCACAGCTGTCAACGATGGAAGGCTTACCATTGAGGTTCCTAGTTTTCTCTCTTTTTTTCCCCCACTCATTATGTAGTATTCAGACTTTGAGTTAACTAGGTTTGCATACAGTGCGTTAATTTAAATATATTTGATGGTTTCCTGCCAAAAAAGAATTTTGCAGTATATCTGTCTTGTAAATTTTGATTACAATACTCTTTTCCTGTTTTTTCTTTCTATGATATGGCTTACAATTCACTGATTATTGTTTCTCAGTGTCTTGCTTTCTTGCCTCAAAGACAGTGTCTAACTAGTACTGTATTCATTCAGATTTATCAGAACATGGATTGGGGAAAAAAATTCAAAATATTTCGTTAAACATTACCTTGTGCTGATTTCAAGTTTTGTTGAAATATATTATTTTCAGGATATTGTCTTGCGCCTTCACACTAATCCACGGAGGATCTTCGGTCTGCCAGAGCAGCCAGACACGTTTGTCGAGGTGGATCTTGACCACAAATGGACCATTCCCACAGCTATGCCTTACACGAAGTCCAAATGGACTCCATTTGCCGGCCACAAAGTCCGTGGCATTGTGCGAAGAGTGTTGTTGAGAGGAGAAGTGGCTTTTGTAGATGGCGAGGTGAATATATTATGTTGGGAATGGACGTCGAAGAATCAATATCAACTGAAGTTCCTTTGTAAATGATAAGATTATTCGACGGTTGTCTCAGAATTTTATTATTAAACATTGGGCTAGAAGAGTGGTTAACAAAGTTTTTATGATAAAATATTTTACTTGTACTCGTCTTGTTGTGTATGTATGTGTGAAGTCTTTTGTGTTTGTTCATACAGATGGTTTTTTGGTACTGTGGTGTGGTCTTCATCTAGTCATTTTATCAGTGTTTCTGTTGTTTATGTCATTTGTGGTGATCACTATCATGGTGGCCTGCTACAGTATACAAGTTGCAACTTTGCACATGTTTGCTTTTGTAGGTTATTGCAAAGCCAGGCCAAGGCATTGATGTCAAACCAGAGACCCTGTCCATTCCTGCCACAGCAGCACCTGATGTGGGCACCAGTGGGCTGGGGCAACTCAGTGTGCAGATCTCAGCTTCCAATGCTCCGCTGAACATTTCTGAGCCCCCGAGTCCACGCAAACTTGTGCCTTTTTATGCCGATAAAGCCCCGCGCACGCCTCGATTGCAAGACTCATCACACCCTGTCTTTGGTAAGATACCTGTTGTTTTTGTGTGAAAGTTTTGGCTGTGACTTGCTGTGTTATTGGAATGTAGAACTCTTTATTTGATTTGTGAATAATGGATTGTGAATTGATGATATAATTTTAATTTTGAGTGATAATTAATACCTTTTTTTGCTTGCACTTTGAAGCCATTTTAGTTTTTTGTTGGTGTTATGGGTGAAAAGATGTTGACCCAAATGTGGCCCAAGTGCAATGACAATTTAGCTTTCATTTTTGAAAAGCTTTCTAAGCAAGAAAGGCAGAATTTGCTAATGCTTAATTGTAGAGTGCTTATGATTTTTGTTGATGCACCATGGAAGTTATGTAATGTTAAGCATGCTAAAGATTCCTCAGATTTTATATCTGCCCTCAAACTTTTTGCCTGCATATGCATTCCTTATCTTGTACATGAATACAGAGGTTTTAGCTCGATTGAAGAAAGCTGGTACAGAGGTTGTTTTCAGTCTCGGTACCGAGCTCAAGTTGTGTCAAATTAGCTTTCCTTAAGTGCTGACAGATGGTTTGCCTCGTGATTGCCCCCCAGTTGTGATTGTGAACCTCACACTTGTTTCTTTTACTTTTTAATTTTTTTTTTTTACTAGATTATGCTATTGCTATCTAATGTGTTTATTTTGCCCATGTGAATTGGCTATCTAAATTTGACTGCCTTACCACTTACCTTAAAGTAACGCATTGCGTCAATAGTGTTTCTAGATGGCAATGTGTCCCACATTGTTTGGGGGCTTTTTTGGGGGGGGGACTGCAGCAAAAATTTGATGTATGTATTCCAATTTGACAGAGGCTATTTCTCTTTGTAATGGTACTAGCACTGAACAGTTCCAAAAATTTTAGCTAGCAAAAGCGAAAAGTTGCTGTATTTTAAAAAAGCCCCCACCAGTTTGGTTTCAAACAGAACTTGCTTCGAAAAGCTTCCCCACTGTATCGTGCTGCTTTCGTCTAAAGTTAGATTGTTTTCCACCCTACCAAACCCAATAATGCTGTTTCCTGTGCTGTGAAGGAATTGGTGAGTCTCCGGAACATGGGATGCCTTTGCGAGAGAAATCAGGTAATCAAGAAAATACTTTGCCTTTTCTGCATGTTTCGTTTTAAAGCATTCTGTGTTTCTTATTATTCTGGCATCGCTTTTATGAAAGAAAACTGCATTTATTCATTTAGATGCTCACTGGTTGGATATGCTGCTTAGTATTTTTTTACTCTTGTTTGTTCCAAGATTTATAGTTTTATTCTGAATCGTGGGTTTCGGCAATTTCTTAACACCACTGAAAGTAACACTAATTGAAAAAAAAGTGCATTTTGAGGAGATGGAACTTTTCTTGCTCTTCCTAGCTTCTCAATACTGGACAATGACACTTGTGGAATATAATTGTTAATATCTACCTCAATGTTCAATTATTTTATTATTTCACCACTAGAATGTTAGTTTTTGAAAGGCGTTGTCACTTATTACATGTGGACATAGACAACGAATGTCTTGAGAAATAGATACAAATTTTTGATGATGACTCTTCAGTGCTCTTCTTTGTCATGGCATCAGTTGCCATTGCTCTTCTGTTTGTTTTACAATCTTTAATCTGGTCTAAAACTGGGTGGAACACAATAGGTGGGATTCTTTCTCAGGTAATCATGCCATAGAAATTCCTTGAAAATATAAGGGATAGCTTTCTAAGAATCACATTTTAATGTGTGGTTGGTTGGAACTGCTGATTTGAAAGAAGTATGGCTTCTCAGTTATAAAATGGCTTTAGATGAACTGTTACTGTAAAAAGATTGCTGCACATAAAAATAATTTGTATTGAGAAGCAGCTTTCTTTAAAAGAAAGGTCTGAACGTGTTTTTATGGCCTTTTATTGTTTAGCAATACTTCTATAAATTAAAACTAACGCACTTTAACTCATTCGCTACATATTATTTTCGGCTTGTGGACAAATTTTTTTTGGGAGGGCGAAATGAGATGATGACTAGTGGGCAGTTAAAAGGCCTTTGGGGCCACAAATTCAAATAAATATCAACGTATTATATACTAATATTTTTAGTATGGTTGGTAGAATATGTCTGTAATGTTTATTTATGTATTTTTCAACTTTGGTTCCTGTAAGAGGCGATTATGCAACGCAATTTTGATTGGATGCGGATAAAATTTGAAAATAAAAAATGTATAATCTTTGGAGAAACTCAAAAAATATGTTTGCACCTAGTCAAATGATACATCAAAATAACCATAAATGAATATAGAATTGGAGAATATTGAAAAGTTTGCTGTTATTTGCATACATTCCATAATATTTGTACATAGTACATTTGGATCATAACACCCGATATTGGAAAAAAAATAATAAATTTTATAATCTTGAAAAACGATCACAAACAGAAAAAAACCCACTCGTATCTTATATGGAATTATGCAGAATTGCATTTGGAATAAGCCTATACATGTCTTGAGTGGCACTTTTTGTGCAATTTCATCGAAAAGTATTGATTTTGGTGAGAGAAAAATATTTTGACAATTTAGATCTAGCACTCAAAAATATTGATTTCTCAATAACAGTGCATTGGCAATATGAGTCCAATCGTATCAATATTATAAAAAAAGAGTCCAACATTTCTTTAGTGAGAAAAATAATGATAGATTTTGTTGTGTAAAAGTACTAAGGCTGGTGTCCGGGCTATAATTTTGGCATCGCGATAAAACAAAGTCGAATAAACTACGAAATCGCGTTTCAAAACTTAATCTAAATTTCCGATGTTCAGTGGAAATGCTTGACCCGGAAGTCAACATTATATTATGAACTTTATTTTAACATGGATATGTGGATTGGAATAGAATCTAAGCTAAAATTGAAGATCGGTTCTCGAGCCGCCGGGGCTGGCTTTGCGTACTGACGGCACTTTAGCCGCGCCGCCCCCCACGGCTCGGCGTAGCGAATGAGTTAAAAGCTCAAATGATGGAATAAAATTGTGTATATTTTGAGAATATGAATATGATTTTGCATATTAGAATGCATGTTCCTATGGATTTTGGCTTTATATGGATAGTTGCATACTATTTCCTCTGACTTAAGATGCGAACAAAAAGTCATGGTTACTGTGTCTGCTCTCCTTTGAACATGGTAGCTTATTTGCTTCGAGTGAAGATGCTCTCTAGCCGAACAGTGATTTATATCTAGCCTGTATTGGAGAAAAACATAAATTTCCTGCAAAACTGTTTTGTGTTTTAATTGATTAAGGAGTGGAGATAAAGGAAATCTTGAAAGTGTTTTAATTGTTTGAGGAGTGGAGATAAAGGAAATCTTGAAAGTGTTTTAATTGTTTAAGGAGTGGAGATAACGGAAATCTTGAAAGTGTTTTAATTGATGAAGGAGTGGAGATAAAGGAAATGTTGAAAGTGTTTTAATTGATTAAGGAGTGGAGATAAAGGAAATCTTGAAAGTGTTTTAATTGATTGAGGAGTGGAGATAAAGGAAATCTTGAAAAACTCTTGTTGATGCCTCGTGGAGTTAATAAGTCTGTATTTTTCATTAGGTTGAACTTGAGGTCAGCAGTAAACTTACACTTTCTCTTAAAGTCCTGAACAGACAGTTAATTTAAACTATTAAACTAGATTTTTTTCTTTCTGCTACATTCCTCTACTGCTTTGTTATCTACATACTGGGACCGCTGCACACTTGAAAATGTCTTAACTTTTGTGGTAGCATGTAGGTGATTGCTGTGAGCAATTTTCCTGACGTCTTCATCAAATCTTTACCTGACTTGTTTAGACAATCTATTCCTAACATCTTTATCTAATCTTTTCTTGACATCTTCATCCAGTCTATTCCTAACATCTTCATCCAATCTACTCTAGACTTCTCCATTCAAGAACCATTCTAGACTTTTTGAGCCAATCTATTCCTGACTTCTTCATCCAATCTACACTAGATTTCTTCATCCAAACCATTCAAGACATCATTGGCCAATCTAGTTTTATTTCCCCTCCGCCTCCCATGGCTGTAGCAGACATACTTACTCCTGGAAAGGTGTGTAAGAGCCAAGCACCATAATTATATATGGCTGGTCAAACAGTGGGATAATAGTTCTGTTGAAATAACGTCAGGAAACTATGTTAGAAAGGGTTCTTACTCTTTCCATACAGTTTGTGGTTGGAAAGTGTCATTGGTCGGTCCTTCTGCTTTCTTCTTGACTCTCCCACTTTACTCTAAGGTATCAAATAAGCGCGTGTATGTCATATCCCCTCCCCCCCGCCCCACGCTTATTAATTTTCAGGGGGTTTTTTTTGTTGTGCTCCCCCTGCTCCTTATTCCATAAACCCCCCCATTCATTATTTTTCAGCTTGCCATGACCAGCGATCATGGGAAAAATTATATCTAGAATCTAGATATCTGAATGAAACTTTTTTTTCTTTTTTTTTTTTTTGTAAATGGCAAATTACCATCAGTATTAGTACAGGTACCGGGCTTGGCTACCTAAATGTAGCGTGCATTTTAAACACTTTTGTACATTGGTTAAAAAATTTTTAATGAAATTGGTTTGTTCCTAAATGGGAAAAGCTGTCACAGTAACTTACTAAAATCACTAAAATTTCATGATCTCTTAGTCTTTTATTCACTGAAGGAGAAATTAAACAGATTTGTTCCCTCTAGTACAGGGGTATGAGGTTGAATGTGACACACACACACACACACCTGTTTATTAATTTTGGATCACTTGTCCGCCGCGCGCCCCCTCCCCCTCGATACCTTAGAGGAGTTTCTGTCTGCAGTAAATGACTGTTATTGCGTCCATATGCTCTTCTTTACTCAAACCAGCAGACTTGTGCCATACACTACTGTAACACAAAATCAAAGAATGGGTTTGGTATAAAGTCTAAGTAGATAGTGTAAATGACACTGACGTGTGTTACTCTTCAATAACCTCTGTGTGGCCTTGTGTTTTAGGCGATGTTCTGAGCAGTGTAGAAAAAATGTCAGGTAATGTAGAAGTGCTATCGTGCTGTCCGTTGTATGGTCTATAATGTGTTGCATCTGTTTGCTCATGGCTTTATCAATTGATGCTTCACTGTGTTAGGGGAATGGGGTAGAATGTGACTTGCATGAGGTTTTGAAATACATAAAAAGGTTGTGGTCTGTATGTGGTAAATCTTGATGCTATTTTAGTATTCTAGAGTATTGTTTAGATTTATGTTGAGGATTGGGGATGAAATTATGGTATTCTAATAACTAGAGAAACAACACCCCCCCCCCCCCCCCTCAATTAAAACCCTTTTTTTTTTTTGCACTATGTTGTGTCTCATACTATTTGTCCTTGTAGGATTTCTCGGGTATTTAAGTATCCATATTCATAGCATTTTGACACAAGGTGCTCCTGTGATGCATTGTCACGTGTCAACTGGTTATTTAAAGAATTGCATGATAGTTTGATAGGAGGATAGTTTGCTCCTCTGCCCTTGATGTCATTGCACACCATATGCATTTATAATAGAGCTCATGGTTTATCAATGTATTTTGGGTCAGTGTTACTGTGTGAAATATCTAATGAAGTACTCTTACTTGCTTATGATCTCTCTTCGTCTCATGAAAAGCACTTGCCAGCCTTAATTTTTCAGGAAAAGAACTTATCAGTTGTAAGATATCTCATGGAAAAACATTAACCGGCTGTAAATTCTCCTTGTAATACAAGTATTTGCTAAACATTCAAAGTTCTATCTAGAAAGCACTTGCTGGCAGTAAACTTTCTCATGTAATGCACTTGGTAGCTGTAAATTCTTTCCTGAAGTACACACTTTTGCCAGTTGTATACTCTCACATGAACTACTCATGCTTTATGATATGTTATCGTACATCCTGCTCAAGTGCTTGATTATTTTTTGCTCATATAAATGTCCTTTCAGTAAAATATGGTTTCAGTATTTATGAAAGAGAATTTTGCACCCAGTTCCATTTCATGTTCAAAGTGGTGAAAAAGAAGAATGGGACAGTGTTTATCAGATTGTTGCAATGCTTAGGTTGCATAGAAGAAAATTTGGTCTGGTTTTTATTTTTTATCTGGCTTTTTTTTTCTTCTCTTTTTAGTGTTTTGTTTTTATTTCCCTATCAAGGTTTATTATTAATTCATGGGTGGTTGGAAGGTGCCATAAGAAGATCGTGATTCATCACTTTTCCTCTACTGATTGTCTATCAGTCCTGTTTTCCGGACATGAAGTGACTGCTGTTATAGCAGGGTCTGTCTCTTCTCGCAAACTTTACAAAATAAAAGTTGATTTTCACATGTCGATATTCTATTTCCATACATAATTTTGTATAATGCTTTCTGGTTTCACCAGTGTGCCCGGGTGTGGATACGTATTTATGTCTTCTGTTATCTTTTTTATTGCATTTTTGGGTAGTTTTACGTTTTTGTTTGTTTATGCTTGGTATCATAGTTTTGAAATTGGGGGAGGGGGGGTTCTTTTTTTTTCTTTTAGCTTTGTATGATTTACACTACACCTTATATCCTATCACTCTTGTATTATTTTGCTTTTTGATTCTGTTACTTTCAGTTGATTTAGAAGAAGTGTGTTCTCAAGGTGGGCTAAACGATTACCATTTTTGTTGTTGTTATTGAAAGTTAGTTGTTTATTGAATTTAGTTTTGTTTGGCCGCATGTCTTGTGTACTGCTATGTTGAAATAATTGGGTCTCAAAAGCCTCTGTTCTGGACAGGCGGCGTTTCCTCTCTTTACAATATAGATTCATGTTTATGTCAAAGCGGGGTGTCTTCTCAGTGGTACTATTATCTGGTGTAATATTGCAGTTTTCAGTTTGCTTATGAGTTAATTATTGTACTTATGTTGAGTAAGACAACACTACACTGGGGTTTCTATCGTCATTATGTGTTGTCAGGTGTATACATGTTCTCACCTAAATGGTACTGTTCTTTTCCTATCTTCCTTCTTGTAAATTATTCCTGCACTACATGGCCTTTATTGTGTTTGGGTGCTTTTCTTCATTTAGACATAAGGTTTTGATAGCCTTGAACTAGCAACAATGTATCCCTTCGTGGATGTGGATAGCAGTTTGAGCAATTTGGTTACAGTAGTCTCCGCCTAAGATCCCGGTGCTCGGGAGCAAGGAAAAGCGGGATCTTAGGCGAACCGGGATCTTAACCGACGAACCCAGGGAAGAATCTATGGTGACCCATGTTAAGGCTTACAATCAGTAAAATGGTCTCCCTCCACTCTAAAATGAACTGACGTGACCGCTTGGTGGGTTTATGACGTATGGCGAGCAAAGAGTGGTTAACCTTGATGACCTATCACGGTGCATAGTGGGATGTGGCGTGCCATTTTCACTTATTATCCTATCATGAGGCTCAAGATCTGCGCTTATCAAGTTGCCCCTCCCCTCCCCCTTACCTGTCGAAAATTTATAGCTTTCCATCTCCCCCAACCGCCTTTGTCGTTACACACCATTACGTTGTGAACACACCAATTAAAATTCAGTCTGTCTCGCAAATTCGGGAGTAGAAACAACTTCTCCAATGGTCAGGGAAGAGTTCACAGTTCAATGTGATCCCGCCAGGAGCGAACGTGTAGGCCCTACCCACCCAGCGAGTGATGTAAGTTTAGGGGGATAGCTCAGGTGTGAGTGGGATGTTCGGGGAAAACAAACGTGTCGGTCAGTTCACACCCCGGTGTGATCCCGTCTGGGGCAAACATTGTATCGCTTCATCGAGTTTTACAACGTGTATATGATCACATTCACGATAGTAGCTGATCTTTGATGCGACGGACAGTTTATTGATCTCAAATTTTCACTCTTGGTTGATCGGCTGTCCCGCCCGGGTTTTTTTCCCGCAAATTATGATCTGAAATGCGGGATCTTAGCCGAATGTAGACCTTCAGAGTGAATCAGAGCGGGATCTTAGGGGTGACTTTTGTATAGTAAAAATTCTGTTTTCTTAAATCAGCGGGATCTAAAGCAAACCGGGATCGTAAGCGGTGGGATCTTAGGCGGAGACTACTGTATCAGGGAAACCCAGAGGCTTCACATACAATTTCTAAAAAATAAATTTCCAAAGCTCCCTTAGGTCAGGTTGCATTGAGGAAAGCAACTCAACAGGAATCTTGAGTTAAAATTTTCAACCATTAAAAATCTGGTTAGTCATTTGTAGGAGTTGAATCATAACTAAAGAATTGATGAAAGACTTCATCTCGCCATAGTTCTAATTTATAAATATAAACTAGAAAACGGTGTGTTCATAGAGCTAAAGTTATCCTGATTGCACATGTATGTTATGGATAACATTCTTTTTTGTTTTCAAACCAAAACTCATATCTGATCTTGTTTCGACATATGAATCAGGGCTACTTGCTACAGTTCTTTCTACGAAAAAAAAAGCACATTATAGTCCAGAACAGTGATAGCACCTCTGTCTAAGAAGTCCTGCATAGTCTTCTGAACGATGCTGTAATGTTGTTCTTCGATTTAAACTTTGTACCCTTCTTAGTGCTTACATGTGTTCTGTCATGTGCTTTAGCAGATCTGTCATCTGTTGTGTTTTATTTTTTCCCAGCACCCCGCACTGTATGACCATTGTTGTTTTAGCCTGTTTCACTTTTCTACTCAAATTAGAGAAATTATTAATGTCCTGAGGTCTGATTGATCTGAAATTCTTTGTATGGTATCTTTCCTATTTTTCAATACTAGTCATTCTTTTAGTGAGAACAATATGTCGGATCTTTAGTGTAATTTTTACACACTACAAGCTGAATGGGTTGGGCCACTGAGTGCCCTATCTGTTAACACACTCTCTCCACAGTGTTAGATATCATTTCCGCCTTATATATGGCACACAGTTTTTGTTGTATTCAGACCCTTGTCTTTGACCTCATAGCAATTTGTTTTTTGGCTTGCAAAACTCGCACAGTAGACAATGTCCTGTCAAACATCTATCGTCCTTATCTCTCCTCCTTTTTTTTGTGTTTGTTACTCTATTGTAACACATCTAATATTCAGCACTTATATGACCTTATTGTGTTGCAAGTGCCGTAATACTCTTACTTAAACAAAAGACACAATAAATGTGCTGCTCCCAGCAACTAGTATTTTCTTTCATCTGCTCATTGAACTTGACTTGTGCTGTTTGATGTTTCACATTATATATTATTTGTTGATTCATTTGCCTTTTTTTTGTTGTTCTGCACACCTTACTTGTGACGAAGCTATGCGTTCTTTAAGAAAATATTGTTGTCTCTGGTGTGCTGTCCTATATCATCATGAAGGATGGAAATTAGATTATGGTAAAGCGAGAAGCTCTTTAAATTAAAGCCTTCAGCATTCTGAATATAAAGTCTATAAAAGGTGGACTTGCACTATCAAGATCTTGTATTCTGTGGTATGCTTGGTTGAAACAAAAGTCTAATTGGTCGCTTTTAAGGACAAGCGGGCTAACCCAGATTTCGGGGGTTTTCAGAAATCATGACCTACACCAAAAGTGGGCATTGCCCTACCTATAGGAGAAATTTGGTTTCATTATTGTGTATATTAGTTTGGTTATAGAGAACTCTCCTTGTATTTTAAAGAAACTGAACAAGGGGCAAAAACTTTACCTTTTCTCAGGACAGCATTTTTCGGGATAGCCCCCTTGTGCTTAAAATTGACCAATTACTTGTGGCTACTGTCTTTAAGACAGTGATATATATCAAGTGGAAATGTTTTGATCATTTTGTTCTTTGCATGCATTGGGTCTTTTTGTGATATGATAGGCTTTTTTTTTTTTTGCTTTGGTTTAGTTATTCCTGTCTCTAATGCATGCTTTGGTATTGTAGCCTTTGGTTGGTTTGTAGAGTAGCTTTTTCTGAATGTTTTTTACTTTAAAATTTTTAAAGTTTTTTTTGTTTTGTTTGTTATTGTTTCAATATTTGCGTTCATTTTTGCATATATTTTTTTATTTGGCTAAAACCCTTTTAAGAAAGCAAATTTGTTTTTGTTTACCGGATATCCAGTTACTTTATGTGGAATTACATTGCAGATTTAAAAAATGTTTCCCAGGTTTTCCCATTCTGTAAATATTCCAATTTTGTATGATTATAATTTAGTAACATAATAAAGTGGAACAGCGATAATAGAACAGGGATCATAATAATATCTTATTTTTCAACATTGCAATGTTATTTTTAAAGTTATACAAGTATTGTTATCATTCCTTTTTTACTTAAACATCTCTTTAATTGGTTTAAAGTGATCTAAAAAAAAAAATTTTTTCTATATTATTGGTTAATATAAGAGTTTACAAGCTATTTTTCTTTTGACACTTATTACTCAGCATTTTAATATTGTCTGCTATTTATCCTTTTTTTTTCATTGTGTTCCTCACTGTAAAGTTTTACAAGCAATAATAATAAAAATGGCATTTGTATAGCGCATATCCATGCTCAATAGCATGCTCTAGGCGCCTTACAACTAGTATTACCTTATCTGACCCTGGAACTCTCAAAAGCGTTCTCAGCTTTGTGGGAAGCCTACAGTGCAAGGAGCTGATTAAGTGCTCAAACATTAAACATATCGACAAGATCTTTTGCTGTCTATAGCACGGTACCCATTTCTACCTGGGTGAAGTGAGGAAAATTCTTGTAAAAATGCCTTGTCTGAGAAGAAGAATAAAAATAGATAGCATTTGTATATCACAAATCCTCGCCCAACAGCAAGCACTATGCACTTCACAATCTATACCATTACCCCAGCAGACCTGAGAGCATTCTGAAGCAACCTCAACTTCCTGGGAAGCATACTGTACAAGGGGCCATTTATAGGCGTTCAAACACCGGGTACCCATTCCCACCTGGGTGAAGTGAGGAAAATTCGTATAGAGTGCCTTTCCCAAGGACATAACGTCGGGCCCATGGCTCGAACCCCCGAACCCACCATCTCACGATTATGAGTCTGGTAGCCTAACCACTAGGCCACCGACGCCACAAGAACACAATGGCAGACTTGTGACAGATTTCCAAGCCATGATCTTTCAGTTATGAGCCTGACAGCCTAACCAGTAGACTGCCTACGCCATAGTGATGTTTCTATAAATCATTTACCTTTTTAGATTAATTTGTTCGTATGAATACACAAGTGGTTGTTACGTGTTTATTACTTGAATGGCGCTGACTTAAAAGATACATTGTGGTTGTTGTGGGTGAAAATAAAGCGGTAGTCCTAGTTATTCCTTATTGGTTAGTTATTCTCTGTTGTCCACTATTTCCACTAGCTTTGCTGCATTGATGTACTTCCTTTTATCTATAACAAATACGATATCTTTTCATTTATTTTGCTTTGGGGGGTGGAGTGTGGTTTGGTGTACTCCTTGGATCTTCTTTTCAATGTTACTGTGTGTTTCCAAAGAAGTATGGCCTTTATTGTTCTGACTCATCGAAAACTGCAGTTGAAAAATAATTTTACCGTAATCTGTTCCTTGTGGATGGTTTGCGGGTGCTCTGGTGGGGTTTGCTCCTTCTTTCCTAGCAAACACCTATTGTCCTGATCTGTCCTCCTTTTTTTTGTGTTTGTTACTCTCAGGTAACACCTAATCTTCGGCACTTGTATGACCTTATTGTGTTGCAAGTGCCGTAAAGCTCTTACTAAATCTAACTAATATGGTCCTAGTGAAATGTGTTGACTGGCTGTGGACTGCTCTGGACATTTACTTTATTAATGTGTTTCTGTTAATGATGTGTTTCAGAAATTCTAATAATACTATTATAAGTGAGTGTAGAAAGATCATCAAGAAATGTTTGTATGCTGGGTTTCAGGTGGAAGGTCATGGGGGTATGTTCTCGAGCAAGTTTTGCAGAAAACATTTCTGCGACCAGCAATTTACTGCTTCTGTTTAATTTCTTCTTGTACTAAAGACTACTGTTACTAAAACAAACACCCGCTTATGACATAATTATTCAGTCGTTCTCTCTTGTTCATTTGGCTCTGCAACAGACGTCCCCCGAGATTTCCATGCCAACCATGCTGAGATGCTGCGCCAGATCGCTGTTGCATCAGCCGCACCCATGCCAGGCGTGTATCCAGCCTCCCTGCAGCCAGTGGGCATGCATCACTACACACATGGACTGACCGGGCACCATGTCACTACTGTCATGAACTTCAACAAGGATCAGGTCGGGATGAAAGAAGCACCAACAGTTGTAGATAACACAATTTGCAATGTTTTTGTCTAAGTAAATTTTTTTTATAAGACTGCAGGGCTGCCTTATTCTACTGATTTTTGCAGTGATTACTGATTTTGGACCTGTTCTACTGCTCTACCAATAAAGGTGTCAAAACTACAGAATTTGTGATGAGCAAAAAGGCAAATGAGGGAAAAGAAAAAGGCCTGTTATGCGATGCTCCCAATCTTCTGTGTTTGTATGAAAATCTGTACATCTTGAAAGTTCTGTACTCGCTTCATATCAGTATCAGCTCCATTCATTTTTTTTTTTTAAAGGGAGATAGTGAGTCTTGGCCTATTGGTATTCCGTAGCAAATGGGAACTTTGGGGTAGGCAACCCTGAGACTGTACATGATGAAAAATTAACTTAACCTGACAATGTAGCATCAGTCAAAAAGACAAGTTTGGTTTCTAGATTGATAGTAACACTAATTTTAAATATTCTTGAAATCTTGTAGAAATATGTTTGACGGGATGGTTATTCATGATCTTTCTCTTTCTGCATATATATATTGTTTTGTATCATTTTGTTTTTCAGTTGTCTCAAGTTTTCAATCTTGCTCACAACTACAAAGTAGCTGTCAGTAGAGATAGGCCACTGGATCATGTCCTGAAGGTATGCTTTCTTTTTAACTCTTTTGTCCAGTTTTTGGTTTTTGGTGTTGTTGTTGGGGGGGGGGATGTGAAAATGTTTTGTGAATATTCATTTTTGTTTTCTAATCCTGTAGTATCTTTTGTATGAAGTTCTGTTTAGTAATGGTTTTTTACCAAGATATTTTGAATCCAATAGGTCTGTTCAACTTTGTTCAATCTCAAAATGAAACTTTAGAAGGCATACAAATTTCCACTCTCCCTCATCCTCCACATGTGGGTGGTTGGCAGGTGCTCTGGTGTGGTTTGCTCCTTCTTTCCTATCAAACATCTATCGTCCTTATCTCCCCTTCTTCTTTTTTATGTTTGTTACTCTCTTGTAACACCTCTAATCTTCTGGCACTCATATGACCTTATGCAGTTGCGAGCACCGTAAAAGCTCTACTAAAACAAACAATCATCCTCCACCAGTTTTACAGCTGCAAGTGTCTTTCATCATGACCATACGTTAGGGCTTGTAAAGCCTAATGGTTGACTTGGTTGCCTCTCCATAGGGCAAAGTCTTGGCCTCCATGTTCTTCGAGGCATCCACCCGCACCAGCTGTTCATTCACTGTTGCTATGCAGCGACTGGGTGGATCTGTGGTCCACTATGACCAAGGGACTTCATCTGCCAAAAAGGGTGAAACTTTGGAAGGTAAGAATGTCTTAACAGTACTGAAGGAACAAAAAGTTAAGTAAGAATACCGTAACCGTCAAAGAAAAAGGAAATGGAATGTAAGAATGTTACAGTTGAGTTGAAGGGGGGGGGGAAATAGAAATGTATTGTAAGAATGTGTCAAAGAAATAAAAATGCGAAAGGTAAGAATGCCACAGCTGTGTCAAAGAAAATAAAGTATGGGTCCTGTTCAAGCTGTAAGGTGTTCAATTTGCAATAAAATAGCTGGTTTGATTTCAGGCTGTCTGACAGGACAAAGTGTCCATCTGATAGGGACTTTGACATTATTCATTTCAGTTAATGTAGATGCTGATGGATACACCAATGTCTGTGTTGTAGGAGTTTCAGACCTGCCACTCATCCCGATTTAGCCGGGATATCCCAATTTTTTGCCCCGAATCTCAAGCATCCCGATTTTCCCGATTTCAACCACATGTGTCCCGATTTTTTTTTCCAGTCTGTTGTTGTGCCGAATTTTTTCTACAACTTACTCTGCCTTCTTCTCTATTTCGGGAAGCACCCGTTGGATGAACTTTTTGTCAGTAGGAACTCAGAGCATTATTTTCCAAAATATCGATGCTGGACTAAGGAGTTAACTCGCCCCAAGTTGTGTTTGATCTTTGCCCGTACTCAGAATTCTCCGATGGTTGCCTGATAACTGTGACAGTTGCACCAATAATCTTTAATATTCCTAGTTCTGCTGTTACTTTCAAAACAAGCCTCGTCGGTGGTCAAGTAATGGCACGTACACATCAAACACTCAGACAAGCGACTGTCGCTCTAACCATTACACAACTAACTGGGTTGACTAGACTAACACTCGGCCGTTGTCGTTGCAGGGAGCCCATTGGGGGTTCGGGGCTGGGCGGTTTGCTAGCCAGGTTGAGGGCGCGAAAGCAGCTATCGTGGCACAAGCCGATCGCACCCTACTCTTCGCCTCAAAAACAAAAGCGATTGTTTTCAGAGGACGAATGGGGCGGTCACTCCCAACAGAACCCGACCCAATCCCATCCACAATGGGTACCTTGTACGTCTGAATACATATGAGGGATTTGTTAGTACATTGTGTTGATCGGCCGTTGTCGTCAGCCTAGAACAACTGTCGCTCTTCTGAGTGTTAGGTGTGAAGGCGCAGTTAGTCGGGCCTATCAGTAAAACTGTTTCGATTGCGCGTTCGCATAACGTGACATGACTTCAGCGTGTGAGTTCGGTGTGTGTCGGAGACCATTCGCTGACATGGTCAGCACATAGAGTATGCTTTAGATTTTCTTATTTTGGCTTTTTTTTTCCTCTCCTCAAACATAGGTGGTTGGCAGGTGCTCTGGTGTGGTTTGCTCCTTTCCTATCAAATATCTCTCATCCTTATTTCCCACTCTTTCCTTTGTATATTACTCTCTTGTAACACCTCTAATCTTCTGCACTTATATGACCCTTTTGTATTGCGAGTGCCATAAAACTCTTACAACAACTACGACTCTCCTCAGACACTGTGTCGATGATGGCTGGCTATGCAGACATTGTAGTGATCAGACATCCCACTCCTGGGGCTGTGCAGGTAATAACATTATCTAATATACGTCATCAGTGAATGTCTCTAGGAAATGTTTAGTAATGTTTAGAAAGACACCGCTAAAATCCGGACAGAATGTTTAGAAACAAAGATTGAAATGTCATATTAAAAAATTTACCTTCCTAATATATCCCATCTACACCTTCCCAAAAAATGATTAGTAAAATGTGTTCTCAAGATACGGCTTTTCAGCTTTTGTGAGGGTTGTTGCAAGCTGATGGTTGGAAGGTGCCACTGGTAGGTCCTTCATTTCTTTTTTTCTTTTGTTTCAGTCTGTCTTACTTTTCCTAGAGACGATTGGCCATTTTTGTGTAGAGGTGCTTTTCTTTTCTTAAAACACAAGTCTCCCCCCCCCCCCCCTCTCTCTCTCTCTCTCTCTCTCTCTCTCTCTCTCTCTCTCTCTCTCTCTCTCTCTCTCTCTCTCTCTCTCTTTCTCTCTCTCTCTCTCTCTCTCTCTCTCTCTCTCTCTCTCTCTCTCTCTCTCATTCTCACTCTCACACACACACACACACAAACACATTGACTTCTTGCGGATGATGGATCCATCTGAGATTTTCTTCAGGGTTTGGGATGGCAGCACTGAATTCTCTCCAGATCTTTGTTAATGTTGATACTTAAGTTCACTGTGGAAAGGAAGAAGACATTTAGAGGTGCATAGCATGGCATTTAATTCTGTAGGAAGAGCTGTGAGGCATGCAATTCTACCTCACTTATTGCTTCTGCTGGAGTGGTGAGGATTTGCACACACGAGTTGTCAATCTGAACGCCCTGTATGTCGATGGAACACTGGGAGTACTTTTTTGGAAGCGTTTGTGACTTTGTGGAAGGAAGGATATTCTGTCAGATAATGATTTGAACTCTCATGGTTTTTTCAAACATAGCATTAAAAAATGGTTATATTTTTGTTGTAGAAATTTTTGGACAGTCCTAGAATGTTGTCTTTTTATCTCTAATTAGGTCTCCTTTAACCTTTCTACCATGAACTATTCTATGGCCTTTTGTGTCTTGTTAGACAATCTTAAAGCAGAATGCATAATTCAGTTGTGCCCGGGTGGTACGTAGAGGAAGTATTTATTGCCCAAATACATTACTCAATGGATAGGTTCGTTCTTCAGAGCTTGACTTCCTTGATATGCTCCAAAGGAGAGATATAGTCAAAATGTGTCGAATCAAGGAAGGTCAAGCACCTTCTCTTCTTCAGCTGAGCGCAATAATCCAGCTCTGTCATTTACCCGACGGGTTATTAATATCCCCCCGCCGCCCAAACAAACAAAAAAACAACAACCCATATTTTGAAAGAGGAAAGAACACAGAATTGAGACAAAATGGAAACTTTGCTCTACTCACCTGAACTTTTCCTGTGTGTTAACTTGGATCATTGCGGTACCTGATTTTTAATTCTAAAAGCCCTAAATGTCAGTGTCTTCAGGGTATATATAAAGGTAAGCCACCATTTCGAACTGCTTGACCAAAGTAAAGCCACCATTTCTAAGTGCTTGACCAAGTACACAACACGAAAGGTCACACCAGGGTTGCCACTTTTTCTGACAGGACGAGGAACAATTAGCTGTGATGGGGGGGGGGGGACATGACGGTTGTATTCTACTTTTATCTAATTTTGTACGTAATACCATGTGATTGTAATTACCTCACAGGTAGCGGCGAAGAGTTCCCGCAAGCCAATAGTGAATGCTGGCGATGGCGTGGGTGAGCATCCGACCCAGGCCCTCCTAGATGTGTTCACCATCCGGGAGGAGATTGGAACTGTCAATGATCTCACGGTGAGTTTTAATTAGGCACCAAGGATGTAGATCACTGAAGTTTCTTATCTTCACCACAAAAAGTCTAATTTACAGTGATTGTTCACAACAATGCTTGGGCCCTGGTGGAAAGCTAATATAACCTCACCAAAACTTTTTTCTCTCTGTGTTTGCTAACTGCAAATAAAATTGAGTTGTATGTATTCTACAGAAAGAGTTCCTTTTATTGCCTATCTTCTTTCAAGTTATGCTCAAATCAGTCCCTGATATTTCCTTCTGTCATGTTTCACAGGTAGCTTATGTCTCTTGGCAAACCAGTGACACCCTGGTCTCTGACCACAAAGCCATCAAAATCAAACTCTGTAGACACTCTGCCCCGACCCGTAGGAGCAAAGCCAAATGGTCCTTCAAGAAGGCTGACTGGTCGTTGTTCAATGCCCTCATGGAAACAGAGATTTCGGCAAATGACATGCCTAACATGACGGACGCCACGAAATTAAACACGTGCCTAACTGAGGCCATTTTAAAAGCAGCCAAACAAAGTATCCCTAAGGGCGCTCGTAAACTTCCTAAACCCTTTTGGAATGAAGAAGCGGACAAACTGATAGAAGAAAAGGGCAAATAAGGAAAAAAGCCATGGCAACCAAAACACGAGAAGACATTGAAAACTACCAGGAGGCGTCTAAAAGAACTACATCCCGCCTAAACAAGATGAAGCGCGACTGTTGGCGCAACTTTACCTCAGAGATGTCCCTCTCGACTGTCAACACAGTAAACAATAAAACCTTAAAAGGAGATAGAAGCAAGGCTGAAGCCTTTTCCCATGAATACGCCTCAGTCAGCCGCCTAAAACTCAAAAAGGCAGACAAACACCGGCACTACCAGCTTAATGAAAATCCTCCCCATTGACCAGAACACAGGCTATGATTCTCTCCTCACCATGGCTGAACTGACAGTTTGTATAGGAAAGCTGAAAAATGGCAATTCTCCCGGGCTTGATGGTGCAACCAATGAAATGATCAAACACCTCGGACCCATCGCAACCTCTGCCCTGCTCCGTCTTTTCAACCTATCATGGGAAATGGCCATTGTCCCAAACAGCTGGCGACGTGCCAAAATCATACCGATACCCAAGAAGAATAAGCCTGCAGGAAAGATTGGGTCCTACCGCCCCATCAGTCTCACCAGCTGCCTTGCTAAGCTGATGGAGGCCCTCGTCAAGAACCGCCTGATGTACTTTCTGGAGAGCAACAACCAATCAAGCTTCCGCAAGTTACGGTCTACTGAAGACCAAGTCCTGTGCCTAACACAACATATCTCTGACAGGTCCCAGGCTTGTCCCAAAATGCAAGGAACTGTGCTAGCCCTCGTGGACTTCTCGCGTGCCTTCAACAAGGTATGGCGCACGAGGTTAATGGAGAAGATGATTGAGAAATTTACTCTCAGCCGCATTACTCAATGGATAGGTTCGTTCCTCAGAGACAGATACGCCTACGTTGAGCACGGCAATGCAACAAGCAGGCGTCGCCGTTTCGAGCAGGGAGTCCCCCAGGGCAGCGTCCTGTCCCCCACACTGTTCTTTGTTTTCATTGATGATATTGAAGCAGGCCTGCCTGAAGCCGTGAAGACGGGACTCTATGCTGATGACTATACAATATACGCCACCAACGAAGACATAAATCAGGCTGAAAACAGTGTCCAAGCAGCCATAAACTTACTTGAGCAGTGGGCAAAGCAAAACAAGATGGAGATCAGTACGGAGAAAACAGAGTGCACCCTCTTCACCACCAGCACTCATGAGGCCAAGCGAAAACCAGCACTCTCACTCAAAGGCTCCCCCATCACCTTCAACTCCAACCCCACCTTACTTGGGGTCACACTTGATCGTACTCTATCCTCCAACGCCCACATCCAAAACCTTGAGCTAAAACTGTCAAGCAGACTTCGACCATTGAAAGCCCTTACAGGCACCACCTGGGGTGCCTCCAGGGAATGCATAAAGCCTATATATTATGCTACTTGTCGGTCAGCTATCGACTATTGTGCCCCTGCCTACATGCCTCTTGCCAAACCCTCCAACCTGCAGAAACTGGAAAGAAAGCAGAATGAAGCAGCAAGAATCATCACGGGCTGCTCAAAGGATACTCGTGTGGACAGCCTCCTCATCGAAGCAGACATTTTACCACTAAGGCATAGAGCTGATGCCTTGACTGCCATCTCATTCGAGAAGTCCATGCGTCTGCCTGCAACGAACCAACGCAGAGCCTCCGCAACAAAATCGGTGCCCACGCGGACAGGCAAGTCGAACTGGAGAAAGCATGCCAAGAACCTCGTAGCCGAAACTAAACTGGATACGTACCCACGTGAGGAGCTGGTTGTTTTACCCCCCCACACAACCGTGGAAGGCTGCATCATACAACGTGACTTTTAGCACTGATTTTGTCGTCGACTGCAAGCGTGCTAATGAACCAGCTGTCAGGAAAGCAGCAGCAGAGGCTACAATTCGATCGCTCCCTCTGCCCGATGTGGAAGTCTGACGGTTCAGCTAAGCAGGGTACTGAGTATGGAGGAAGTAGAATACTGATCAAGACCGGTGATACCGAACTCGACCAACGTGTACCTGCGGGCCGGTATTGTTCCAGCTACAGGGCCGAGCTTGTAGCTCTCGACACAGTGCTTGACATGCTTGTGGCACTACATACAGCAGGCAGCCTTCCAAACAGTGTACGCATCCATGTATACACTGATTCTAGGTCAGCAGTCATGCGCCTCTCATACGGCCCTACCAACCAATCGGAAAAGGTGGCCTGCTCAATCTGGCAACATCTGCACACCCTCTGTCAACGCTCTGAATGTTCCACCAGGCCACGCTGGACTGGCTGGGAACGAGGAAGTTGACAGCATCACCAAAGAAGCAACAGCGCTTACCCAGATTGACACATCAATCGATTTCTCGACAGCTAAAGCCGTCATCCACCGATCGACCCGCGCAAAGTGGAAGAGAGAGACGAAACCCAAACTGCCGTTTGCCCAGCCGCCATCATACCAGCTTGAGGCCTCGCTCAGATGACAGGACCGCCGGCTTCTCTCCCAAATGAGAACTGGTGGACAATCGCCCAAGCTGAGATCATATCTCCACAAAATTGCGCCAGCGGACAACCCGGATCCGTCCTGTCGAGCCTGCAATGAGGACAAAACTATGGACCATGTGTTCCTAAGATGTCCCGCCAGCTATCGTGCTAGAGAACCCGTTTGCTGGGACATTTCAGTAACCCACTTTCAGCACTTTTTAAGGACCCCCCGAGCGAGTGTTGAGTTCCTGCGTGCTGTCGGCATCGCTGACCGTTTATGAAGCCACAGCGCCAGAAGAGAGAGAGAGAGAGAAGTTATATACACAGTGGCGTCCAAAAGAAACTTGAAATTGTATTCACCCAATCACCTTGTTAAAACCTTGCACCACCCATTCATGCAGCATGCCAATTTAAATAACCCCATGTCTTGTGTTTTATTTGCAGATTACCCTTGTTGGTGATCTGAAGAATGGACGTACAGTACACTCCTTGGCTCGACTCCTGACTTTGTACCGTGTGAACCTCCGCTATGTGGCAAGTCCAGGTCTGGAGATGCCCAAGGAAATCTGTGAGTTGGTGGCAGCGCGGGGTGTAAGACAGGTGAGCTTCAAACTAGGTTGTCTTTGGTTTTTTTGTTCGGCTTTGATGTCTGTTTTTTTAAATATTCATCTGACTTTCTACTGTAATGTTACGCCTAATTAACGATAGCTGTTTATTCCTAGAGGTCATGTAGGGATAGTTTCTGTTTGAGAATTTCTTACTTTTTGCAGGAGTTTACTTTAACCCTGTATTATCAATCCAGGGTATTTGTAGTTGATGAAATGTGGAGGAATTTCTTCATGTGAAGTTGTAGGAAGAGGTCAGTGTCAGAACAAAGAATTTGTTGGGTCATAGTAAATCACAGAATGTCAGTCAGTGCTGTACTTATAATAATTTTTTACTTTGACAGTGAAAATATGCAAAATCTGGTAACGTTTGCTAGATCTTTTGAGTTCTTGCAATACGAGTTATAGACAAAGGCAAGGCTTTTTCCTAACTTATTAGAAATGTACTATTATATTAACACTTGAGTTGTAACAGTGTAGTACATTCTTTCAATATCTTTCAAATTATGTGCATTATAAATAATTAGTAGGCATTTCGGTCTGGTTTGCTTCATTTATTTATTTATTAAAATGTTGCAATTGTCCTAATCTATTTCCTTTTGAGTGTGGATGTTGACTATTTCCCAACACAGATTATATAAAATATTTTTATTTGTTATTGTGAAAATTTAGGACTCGTTCACTAGTCTGGAGCAAGCTTTGCCTGACACTGATGTTGTCTACATGACTCGTATTCAGAAGGAGAGATTTGAGACCATTGAACAGTACAATGAGGTGAGTGCAATATATAATACCACCCTGAACTTTTTTTCTTAAATTTTGTAGCTGAGTTAGCCTCAAGTTCAAATCCACTTGCCTCTTCACTTTTAGTTCCATTTCATGGTACAAACAAGTCCTTTTGTCAAATGGCAATGCTTTCAATATTTAGACATGAGCTTATGGGGAAATGTCCTAAAATCATAGGGAAGCAAAAATAATGGGCTTTCATGCGACAGCTATTAGGGAAAAAATTGTAAAACCCAAGTACCGGTACAGTGGAAAAGATGATTGTGAAACATCTACAGTTCAAATTTGTGACCAGAAAGGCCTTCAAGAATGTTACAATACTTTCCCCAATCCCTTAGATAGGTATGTACCTGCACATATCAGTCTGTCGGAATTCTGGCTGATCCAAGGAGCAACAGAAAGTAACTGGCTCTGCAAAATCATTGGGAGCAATCTGGGGGTGATCACCTGAATTTTCTGCACTGGGCCTGCAGATATGAGAGGGAATGAGCAAACAAATCAATTGGTAGGCAAAGCTGGAATGATCCCCCAACTGCGACTGCAATTGCACATGACCATCTGGTGAATAAGAAGGAAGACAGCACCTACACAATGGAGATACTGAAAAGGAAAGGAATGCAGCCTGAGCAGTGGAAGCTCTCAAGATCAGCACAGTGGAGGCCGGGGCAGTCAAGAGCTGAGGAGGGATAAGGAGCTTTAGATAGAATCCGTCCCTGAAAGCCTCATTTCTGGAATCAAGTAATCAAACTTTTCCCATTGTGAAAGATCATACAAAAAAAACCTGGGGCACCTACATCTCCTTATACCAGCTTTTATATCACAGGCCCCTCCGTCCCCGCCACTACCACCATTACCACCTACATGTACAATACTTGAGACAGTAAATTTTGTAGAGTAATTTCCTAAGGGGTTTTAGGGTATTATTTTAGCTATGACTACAAATGTCTTTTTACAGTCTTTGCTTGTATTGTTCACCATAACTTTGACCTGATGTAAGCTTATTCTGGCATTCTGCTGGGACTTGCTGTTCACTGACTGAAGGTGTTTTCAGTGGGGCATGATCTCTGAAATTTGAGAGTTTTAGATACCCAGAAAATGATTATTTTATCACTAAATATGTCAGTGTACTGATTTGTACAGAACCAACCGACCATACCAAGGTAGCAATTCACTCAGGATGAAATATCCTGATTTCGGCTTGTGTACAAGCCAGATCCCTAAGTTTAATCTGATAGTAGTTCTAAAGGGGATCACAACCATTCTGGTCAGTAGGTATGATTCCTCTTAAGCTGTTACTCTTAGATTTATTTTTTCTAATCTCTGACACATTTTATACTTCTGACCCTGTCCTAGGCCTGCAACAAAAACCTGGTTCTCACACCGGAGCTGATGACTCTAGCCAAGAAGAAGATGGTGGTGATGCACCCTCTACCCAGAGTCTTTGAGATCAGGTGAGTTTTGTGGATACTTGAGTGGGTGGTTGGTGAGTGCTCGCTATTGTCCTAATCTGTTCCTAGCTAAATGTACCTGTTATCGTAATGATTTGCTGTAAAGAGCACACAACAGCAACTGTGTTTTTTCTTGCAGCTTGATTATTTGTATGATTTGTTGGTTACAATCATTGATTGTAACGTTTGTGCCCTCTGAACACAATTTAGATCATTTCTAGACTGATTACATTTGCACTGCTTGACAGGACCAACTGGAGGTGTGTTCAATGGTGCAGACCAGCAGAAAGAAATATCTTTTTCAAATGGGGCTCGAATTCATGAATTTGGTGTTCAAAGAACATAATTGTTACTTAACAGGTGTTGGTTATGTTTCAAGTGGTTATGTTGTGTGAAAGAGACTCATCATCAGCTTGTCCCAAGAAATGAGCGTGGTCCCTACTACGTTTTCTAAAAATGTCTTTGTACCAGCACACTCCCTGAAGTTTTTAATTCTTTCTGTTCTTTCTTTAAAGGTAACCCTGAAAATTCTTTTGATGTTCGGATCATGGGTAGTTGGTTGGTGCTCTGGTGTGGTTTGCTTCTTCTTTCCTATCAAACGTCTATCGTTCTTATCTCCCCTTCTTCTTTCCTATCAAACGTCTATCGTTCTTATCTCCCCTTCTTCTTTCCTATCAAACATCTATCTTCCTTGTCTCTCCTTCTTCTTTCCTATCAAACGTCTATCGTTCTTATCTCCCCTTCTTCTTTCCTATCAAACGTCTATCGTTCTTATCTCCCCTTCTTCTTTCCTATCAAACGTCTATCTTCCTTATCTCTCCTTCTGTCCTATCAAACATCTATCTTCCTTGTCTCTCCTTCTTTCCTATCAAACGTCTATCGTTCTTATCTCCCCTTCTTCTTTCCTATCAAACATCTATCTTCCTTATCTCTCCTTCTGTCCTATCAAACATCTATCTTCCTTATCTCTCCTTCTTCTGTCCTATCCAACATCTATCTTCCTTATCTCTCCTTTTGTCCTATCAAACATCTATCTTCCTTATCTCTCCTTCTTCTTTCCTATCAAACATCTATCTTCCTTATCTCTCCTTCTTTCCTATCAAACATCTATCTTCCTTATCTCTTCTTTCCTATCAAACATCTATCTTCCTTATCTCTCCTTCATTCCTATCAAACGTCTATCTTCCTTATCTCTCCTTCTTTCCTATCAAACGTCAATCTTCCTTATCTCTCCTTCTTTCCTATCAAACGTCTATCTTCCTTATCTCTCCTCCTTCTTTCCTATCAAACGTCTATCTTCCTTATCTCTCCTTCTGTCCTATCAAACGTCTATCTTCCTTATCTCTCCTTCTGTCCTATCAAACATCTATCTTCCTTATCTCTCCTTCTGTCCTATCAAACATCTATCTTCCTTATCTCTCCTTCTGTCCTATCAAACGTCTATCTTCCTTATCTCTCCTTCTTTCCTATCCAACGTCTATCTTCCTTATCTCTCCTTCTTTCCTATCCAACGTCTATCTTCCTTATCTCTCCTTCTTTCCTATCCAACGTCTATCTTCCTTATCTCTTCTTCTTTCCTATCCAACATCTATCTTCCTTATCTCTTCTTCTTTCCTATCAAACGTCTATCTTCCTTATCTCTCCTTCTGTCCTATCAAACGTCTATCTTCCTTATCTCTCCTTCTTTCCTATCCAACGTCTATCTTCCTTATCTCTCCTTCTTTCCTATCCAACGTCTATCTTCCTTATCTCTTCTTCTTTCCTATCCAACATCTATCTTCCTTATCTCTTCTTCTTTCCTATCAAACGTCTATCTTCCTTATCTCTCCTTCTGTCCTATCAAACGTCTATCTTCCTTATCTCTCCTTCTTCTTTCCTATCAAACATCTATCTTCCATATCTCTCCTTCTGTCCTATCAAACATCTATCTTCCTTATCTCTCCTTCTGTCCTATCAAACATCTATCTTCCTTATCTCTCCTTCTGTCCTATCAAACGTCTATCTTCCTTATCTCTCCTTCTTTCCTATCCAACATCTATCGTCCTTATCTCTCCTTCTTTCCTATCAAACATCTATCTTCCTTATCTCTCCTTCTGTCCTATCAAACGTCTATCTTCCTTATCTCTCCTTCTGTCCTATCAAACGTCTATCTTCTTCCTTATCTCTCCTTCTTTCCTATCAAACATCTATCTTCCTTATCTCTCCTCCTTCTTTCCTATCAAACGTCTATCTTCCTTATCTCTCCTCCTTCTTTTTTGTGTTTGTTATTCTCATGTAACACCTCTAATCTTGGGCACTTAAATGACCTTATTTGTGTTGCAAGTGCTATAAAACACTTACTAAACTAAAACTGGACCATTTGTTTCACTTGCTTTTGGGGAGGGGGGGGGGGGGGGGAAGACGTATAGTAAAAGAACACTTGACACCATTGGTTTTACATCTACATGGCTCCCTGTTAAAGTCAGTATTAATTGAAAAGGTGCAGTTATGTGCTACAAGTGTTCATACGATCTGGCACCACAATATCTTTCTAATTTGCTATACGAGTATATTCCATCTAAAAGTGTACGGTCCATTAACGAGAGACAATTTAAGTAGGTAGCGTAAACACAGCCTCGCGGGCACTCGCGGCCTTTCGAGCGCGTGAAATCGGGGTAATTCCGATCGCTGTTTCTTTGCTCTTTCGCTATAAAACACCAAATGCCGTACACCTTGTAAAAGTTCAGCTTTTCCTCGTTACAATGGTGTAAGTTGTTTTTATGTCTGATTATTAGGAGCTGGAGAGTCGCCGACGAAAGCGAAGCCCCGCGCGGTCGGAATGCGTTGTCGGCCGGTTGGAAAATTGACACGCGTGCATTTAAATGCTTCAGGGAACGAGGGATGATTAAATACCGTCTTTTCATTGGCGGAGAACTGTAGAGCTTTAAAAGGGCTTTCCCGTGGTATATGTTTGGCCTTTGGCGTCTAAATAGAAAGGTTTTAAAAATACTGTCAAAATGTTTAAAGATCACTTTTTACACAAAATATGCAAAATACCGGCTTAAAATGTATCAATTAAAAGATCAGTTCATTTCCTATTAGAATAAAGTAATTAACTTGGAATTATTTTTCATCAATCCTTCCGCGAGACTCGGAAAGCATGTGACCCCGCACGCGGGGTACACTACAGTATACGACACATCATCGTGTTTGGGGCGATAAAATGCTGATTTGTAATGATCTCACAGTCTTGAAAAAAATTAGGCTCCATATATTTGTTATAGTGATTGTACTTTGTTAATGTGGAGATGTTTAGTGCTCTTCGAACTCTTTTATTGTCTGTCAAACATGGGGTTGCAGCCAGTGACTGACTTTAACAAATTTGATCAAATTTTAAACAACTACCATTTTCTTAAAAATTGACTGAGAGGTTAAAGAATGGTACCTAAATGCTCAATGGATATAGGCCTTTCAAATGGGACAGATAAATTTGGCATACAGCTACTTTGAAAATTTAGTTTTTGGTACCTAAGACTGCCCTGGAAATTTTTGAAAATTGGAGGTAGGGCTTTTTCAAGACCTGCTGCCTTAGCGTGGAATCTCCTCCCACAGAATTTATTAAGAGAGAAGCCTACTTTGACAGCATTTTAAACGCGTAAAAAAAACCCAAATGTATTTGAATCCTATTTTTACTATTTATTGCGATTTTTAAAAAAAACAAATGTGATCAGCAGCCTCAGTGATTGTTTTTTGTGTGTATGTGTTCTTTTGTGAGATTGCAGATGTATGTATTTGAATGGATTGCACGTTGAAAGGGTCAATGTGCATGAAATGTGTCATTGTGACAGCTTTTAAATTGTAAAATCGATTAATCTTTTAAGACATTTATTTTATTGTGAAGCGCTAGTAGCCATCAGGAAGTGGGTGCTAGAGAAGTGACCTTTATTGTTATTTTTATTGTTATTATTTTTGATATTATTAATCAGCATTCTGAAGATTGTTAGTCAAACCCTGCCTCTTGTTTTATAGAGGCTAATTTAGAGGCCTTTAGTACAATACTTTTATTTCATGCTTCAAGTGGCAGTGTGAACGGTGATTCTAGTTCGTTCAACTTGATTTCTTAGTCCGGTTTATTGTTGGTTTTCTGCCTGCCTAAGTCGGCCCAGGGTATAGAACAGATACTTAACTGTCCTGTCCCCGTGGTTTTTTGCACCCCGCATAATTTATCAAAATTTGATCATTTTTTGCATAATTTCTTATTATTTTCCTTTATCATTCTTTGTTGAAATTAGCAGAATCGCTTAATTTCACATTTTTGGGGTCAGTTTGGGTAATTTCTGAATTTTTCTTGCTCAAAATGACGGAGACAGACTGACATCTCTGACCCACCAGGGTCACAGCTCTCCTCTGATTAGGTTATAACATCTTTTCTCCTTTCTGACTGTACATGCAGAGATGCCAACCTGAGATGAAAGCTTTTAGTTAGATCTAAGTAAATGTTTAGTGATATTAAAATTTTTGTAGCGAGACTGCGTAATGGACGGTAATATGGGTGCGTTGTAAGCTTTGTAGGCCAAACGACGTTAGCGGTCTGGAGTAACGATGCTAAAATACTTCAACACGCGGAAAAGAAGAGAGCCAAATACACGATCGACGATGGCGTATTGGGCCCAAATTGCAGAACAAAACTTCGGCGGAAACTGGAGCGGTCTGCAATGATTAGCCTTTGTGACTATTACGAGCGGTGTCCTAGTGATTTTTACTCCAAATAAGTTTCTATTCAACCCGACCTCGAAAATTTGTGAGATTACACAGTAAATCGTTGAGGTGTGAGACTGGTCGTGTTTTCGGGAGTCTCATGCCAAAATCCTGAGGGTCGGTGCATGTACCTGGTGTCTAAAATATACAAAAAGTAGGGCTTGTTTTAAGGGCTTTTACTCAATTGTGTTTGGGTCAATTACAAGACAACTTGGAAAAAATTACCTTCAACCAACAGGACATGAGGTTTGTTAAGATGAAGTATGAAGAACACAGTATTATTAATCAACATTTTGAAGATTGTTAATTAACAAACTGAAACAATGTACAGTGGATCACGTGTCGAGATATATCGAATTTTAAAATTTCAAACAAATTTGAGGGAAATTCAACCATAATTAGCCCATTGAAGAACAAATTTATATAAAATTGACTTGTCTAAATAAACTATGGGAAGTGCTGGCTACTTAGATTGTTTCAGGTGCTGGATATTTCGAAAACCCTGTGGCATGTTTTTATGTCTCTTCTTTGGACGTCCTGATTGAGTTTGAACTGTTTGATTTTATGCTTCCTTGGTTGATTTTTTTTATTTGAAGTTTGGTTGAAATTGATGTAACGATGACCATGATATTGCCTTTTGAATAAGTCCTTTTAAAACAAATTTTGGACCCCCTCTACCTTTTCTGTTCAGTGTCATTTCGTATTTATCCGGAGACTGAATGTCTGTTCCTGCAAAAAGTAACGTTCCAAAACCCCGGCGAGTAGGGCCTGCCATGTAAAATTACTGATTTATGTCTAGTTGTTTGAGGAACTCAGACAAAAATGAACACCATTTTCTCTTACCGTTACTGTGTGTCTGCACTATATCATATGTTAATTAACAAACTGAAACAATGTATAGTGGATCACAAATAACTTTGACACACAAAACTTGAGTTCACGGATAGTTTAAACATTCTACTATTTCGTAACTGAACTGCTATATTTTCTTTGTACTGGCAGCAGTTTTCTTGAACACATGCATATATGTGTCGAACAGCTCATATTGAGTAGCCCAATCAAATTTTTCCTTACCATTATCTGGAATTCAAATTGCCTCGCATACATGTTGAAAAACCCATACACCCATCATCATGGAGAGTATTGAGTTACATGTTACATGAGCGTACCAGGATTGCCCCCGCACAACATGATACACACACTTCTGGTATCAAGTCGCATTATTGCGCATTGCCTGGATGTGATGAGTGGTGGATGGTTGGGTGTGATCAAAGACGGATAGTGTGGCGCTGCATTGGGCTATATGGTGTTTGTGTTGATGTGTGTGTGTGTGTATGTGTGGATGGAAAGTGAGGAAGTGATGACTCAAAAGGGATTGGTGGCATGCTCTGACCAGTGTTGATTACATTTTCATAATAGTAATCTGACATAAGAGCTGCTCTTTTCTTTTCTTTTCTGGTTTTGTGTGTTTGTGTGTGTGTGTGTGTGAATAGTCATGAGGCTCATTAGCATCAGTGTTTTCTTTTCTCTTGCTTCGACCATTAAGAAGGTGCACACACTATTCCTCTTTTTTTCCTTTTATCGATGGCAATGATTATTTTCCAACTTTAACACTGTCACACTTCCTTTTTCATCAATATATCTCTCTTATGTTTTGTTATCATGATGTACTCGAATTATGGACTTACTCATCAAACTTATGAGTGGGTGGTTGGCAGGTGCTCTGGTGTGGTTTTCTTCTTCATTCCTATCAAACATCTATTGTCCTGATCTCCCCTCCTTCTTTTTTATGTTTGTTACTCTCTTGTAACACCTCTAGTCTTCTAGAGTTCATATGACATTATGCTGTTGGGAGCGCCGTAAAACCTCTACTTAAACAAAGAAAACAAACTTATGAAAAAGTTCACCATCTGATTCTTCTTACAAAATATTTCAGCCCAAGCATTGACACTGACCCCCGGGCTGCCTACTTCAGACAAGCAGAGAATGGAATGTACGTGCGCATGGCTCTCATCGCTCTCATCCTTGGCAAGTGCTGATGAGGCTTGAAAAATTGCAGAGCTTGTGACAACAATTTTGTGACTACTGCATGGAAAGGGATGAAAAGGATCGGACTGCCATAACAAGAATGTGTGATGAAACAGGAAAATTTGAGCGGCGAGCACCATGAAATATGTGTTTATTGTGTTTGTTTTGTATTGAATTCTTTTTAGAAATATCTGTGTTTCTTCTTCTGAAGGAAAGACTTGAAAATATGTTTATCAGTAACAGTAGCTTTGTCTTTTTGAGGGCCTTTCATTGTAACAAGATTGCCTGTGGTCAGCATGCCACTTGGGACATTTACTCTGTGCATCATCATGATCATAACCCAAGTGCCCAAGTCACTGGGGGTATTTTGGTGCCACCATAGAAGTGATTGTTACAGCCAGCCGTACAACTCGAGCCAAACGAAGCCCAGTCTACATGTTGGCAGCATCCAATATAGAAGGTTTTTTATGTTAATTTCTCAGATTTTATGGTCCCTGTGTTTTGTAAATCATTTTGAATCTCAGAACTTGTATGTCTTAAGAAAATTTTTCTATAACTTTGTAACTTCAAACAAGTGTCCTTTGATAGTATCATCATGATTATCGAGACAATTACAAATGAAATATGATGTGAAGATCTGAAATGAAATGCAAGGATACAGTATTTTGGACTTTTGCGTTTTAAGAGTCTGTACCACGGAGCAAGAAATAGCTGCATTGTGTGTTGATATACATCATGACTGTGGAAGTGTTTCACCTGTTCACCAAAGGAGATGCAATCTGCAAATTACTGATCCATTGTTTTGTGTTGTTTTAAAGTTGGCTTTACACTGTTACAATTTGTTTGTTCTTTTGTATCAGAAAAGGAAACCCGTTATTTATACCAAAGATAGTGAATAACAAGATGGGCCACTCAGCCAAAAAAGTGTCCGCAGAAAGTATGCTCTTTGCTTCAGATGGCGCTGCAGTCTGTTTTGAAGCTCTCTTTCGTTTTTCCAGAAGAAGAATAGGAATAGCACCTCCTTGCGTGCGCAGATCGACTGCTATTCATCAGCAGTTCGGGTACGTTCAGTGCGGAGTTTTAGTTTTTTTAATTTTAATGACCTCTCGCCTTTCATTCTAAAGTCAAATTAAACGAAGAAAACCATCACCGGAAGAGGTTTTTTGTCAGCTTAACCATTTAAAAAAAGCGTTCTTTCGAAATTTGTCCCAAAACTTGCTAGTTTCACTTTGATTTTTTAAAACCCAAGTAGGGTAACTCTGTTCGCAAAGAGTGCGCTTTTGTGAAGAGGGCGCCACCAAATTTTGAGGACACTTTTTTAATTGGCTCAAAGAGAGAAGTGACCCGTCTTGTTATGTACTATCATTGTTTATACAAACCTTCTTATACCACTGCCGTCCTTAGGATGAGCTTGCAGCAAACTGTAATAGTGGGACTGCTGGTGAAACATGTTCTAAAATAATAATAATAATAGATAGCATTTGTATAGCGCATATCCCCGCTCAACAGCAGGCTCTATGCGCTTTACACTATATTATTACCCCAGCAGACCATAGAACACTCCGAAACATTCTCAGCTTCCCGGGAAGCATACAGTGCAAAGCAGCCGATTAAGCGCTCAAACACTAACAAACTGACAAGATCTTTCGCTGTCTATAGCCGGGTACCCATTTCCACCTGGGTTAAGTGAGGAAAATTCGTGTAAAGTGCCTTTCCCAAGGACACAACGTTGGGTCTCTGACGGGATTCGAACCCACGACCTTACGGTTGCGAGTCCGAGAGCCTAACCACTGGTCTCAGTTAAGTAACATCAGCTGCTCAACATCAAGGGAAATGATTCTGCTGTGTGATCTGTGTTTGACAAGTGTCTTTATGTTGGTTAATTACATGTTATTTAGAGAGAGGTGGGATTGGCAAGGAGGGAACAAGTACATGCTCGCAAGTCGAGTGTGGGAGAAAGGGAGATTATCACTGCATAGCTGTTGAATGGGTGCGGTACATGGTTTTTGCAGTGTATACCTCTGGCTGCCAGTTCTCTGGTGGTGTTGCAGGACACATTTACATTAGTTTAGTAAGGAGTGTACAACTTAGACATTTGGCAGATGCCATTTTAAAGTGGCAAATAGTATGTTTATGTAGACGTTCTTTTACGTTTATTGGCAAAACATGGTGATATAAAAGGAGGCGGTTTAACAAGGTTTGACAAGGAATGCCGAATTCCATCTTCCACCGTAGTTTTTGACTGAATTGATTGATACACTTGTATTTTGCTTTTATTAAGAATATCAGGATCAAGTTTGTAATGAACATGCAAACTTCTATTGGACTCCTGCACTCCATTGTGCTTACTTTCGAATATTGTCATCTAACAAAGCCTACTTGCTATTTACAATCTTACCATTTTTTCTTTTTTTTTCCCTTTGTAGTTAACTAAGTAGAGTTGCCTTGCTTATCTGGGAAATATAAGAGCATAGGTTTTTTCATATTGTTTTATAAAGTAGTTTTATGCTTTCTTGGGAAAATTAGGGTGTATCTGTAGTGCATTATTGTTTATTAATCATGTTAGCCATGTATTTTATTTAGAGTTTTTATCTACTTACTGATCTTGATTTAAGTATACAATTTTTTTTGTACTCAGATAAAAGGGAGAAGGCGACACCGCCCCCCGCGCCGCCCCCCCTTGTTTTGACTCATGCATTTCTGTTATGTTAACTATGAAGCTGTCACTAAGCATGTACAATTGTATTTACTGCTCTCTTTCTTTGCATTTTGAAATGTGGCTAAGCAGCACACGTTGCTATGCTCAGGGACTGTTTGAAGTGTTCACTTTTTCAAGGCATTAATTTAGGTTAGTGGCTGGCCATATATAACAGCGACAATACTCAAATAACAGAAGTGCAGTACAAAAAGTCTTGTGTTGAGAAATTAATTCAAAACTGTTTAACCACTTTTTGTCATGGGTGTGGGTTCTTGCTGGCAGCACTAATTTTCAGCTAAGATCTTTTGCCAAGACAGCTGTCTCATCAGTCTTAGTGTCGGTGGACTCGCTGTCTGATGCTAACTTACTCATTTCATATTTGGACCCTGGGTCTTTGGTAGTGTCACCTTCCTCATCCACATATTCCCCAATAACCCTGTAATTTGAACAACTTGCAAATCTAGGTAAATAAAATGAAATTTTGTGTCTTTTTTTTTCTTCAGTCATTTTGGGCTCTTTGTTAGAGCACGCTTTCATATGTAAGACTAGACCTGTGTGTATTGATTGCCTGCAAGCCTAGTAGGAGTGTAATTGAGTTTTGTATGTTTTGTCTTTAAAATCTCCCAAGAAGTCTTTTTACTGGGTTCGAGTTACTGTAAAAGTATCTTGCTCGAAGATATCTGCCTATGACCACGCATCTTACATCCTTCATTTCACTTGAAGTTTTCACATGGCTGAATTCACAGTACAAAGAGGATCAGCAGCAGCAGTGCTGACTTTAGGTTAACTGGTTCAGCCTGCAGATAATTTTGACTCCGCACACAAATATTTGTGACCGCTTCATGACCTCACAGGTGGTCTCACAAAAAGTTAATATATTTTAATTTGATAAACCCTTTGTTTGGCAAATAGAAATATTCAGAATAGAAAATACTATTTAACTACGCCAGAAAAAAGGGTTGAAATGTAAGTGGTTAGGAAAAAAGAATAGAGGAAAGTGATGTGAAGAAAGGGAGCAATAGAGAAGAGCCGACTCTGCATTATAACACATAAGACAGTCGGACGCTGTGAGCGGCACTGTGGGCTGAATCAGTTAAGCCATAAGTTAGTAAGAAAAGCAAATGTGAAGCGTGCTGACAAAATGAGTTACTTCTCGGATTTCAGCCCTATGAAAATAGAGACATTATCATGCTTATTGGCTAAGTTTTTACAATTTATAAGTATGAAATAACAAAAGGCATTTAGTACTCGATGAATATTCCATCAATAGAAAACCTAGAAATGTGTCCCTAGTGTCGATTTTTTGGCCAACATCTGCATTTGTGGATTGTGAGAAGTAACTCATTTTGTCAGCACGCCTCACAAATGCTGTCTATTGACTATTGGCTCAGTAGATCTGATGTTAGTGGGTTGGTTGGTGATAGCACAATTAGCAGTCGAATGACACTGCTTTCTTTTACTGCTTTTTTTTTTCTTTATTGGTTACAGCCAGGCTGATTTCTTTTCCTGTTGGCTGACTAGTATTTTGAGTATGTTGCAGCCCTGTAATTTCAGTTCTGCTCATTATTGACTGTTTTTGTATTTGAAGACACAGTATCTTTTGAAAAACTTCACTTGTTGGTAATGTCTGTAAAAATATATGCGAGGCATTGTGGTGAAACTTGGCGCTCGTCAAAATAATGAAAAAGAAAAGAAAACGGTATTTTTCTTCCTGTTTGGCAATTTCTATCGAATTTCTATTTTTTGGCTCAACACCTTTTGTGTCTGTCCATTTAAAAACACATTGCTGTGTGGCTTTTGCTGAAAAACGATGGTTAAAGGCTAAAAAAATGTAATGTTGAAATTTCCAAGGATTTTCAAGCTTTGGAAGTCACCAAACTGACAACCATTTTTTCTCTAATTTTGCCTCTGAAACCAGGTGCCCCACCTCCTTCAGTTCGAAATATCGACTTCTTTTGAAGATAGATGGGTAGCCTAATGTTTTCACCACAGCAAAACAAATAAACACGTTTTAAGATGATACCTTTAATACCAATAACTCCATATGACCAAAAATTGACGAGCACTTGAATCTACTGCGTCGTGGCTCATATATCATAGTGACAATTGGTCGCTTTTAAGCACAAAGGGGCTATCCCAAAAAATCCTGTTTTGAGAAAATTGAAGGTAAAGTTTTTGCCCCTTGTTCAGTTTCTTTAAAAGACAAGGAGAGTTTTCTCTCTAACTAAACAAATATATACACCAATGAAACCAACTTCTCCCATGGGTAGTGCAATGCCCACTTTTGATGTAGGTCAAGATTTATACAAACCCCCGAATTCTGGGTTAGCCCACTTGTCCTTAAAAGCGATCAGTTAATCATATATGGCTTTGCTTTGATTTTTTTTTTTGTGACAGGACTTCTATCACTTGTTTATTTATGTGTGGTTTGAGACTGTTTCGGATGTTTTTGGTGATTGTAGTCTATTGTATTGTAGTGATAATGATGGTATTTTACTTTTCCCTTCCTGGGTTTTCTCCACCTGTTACATTGTTCTGCAAGTTTTAAAAAGAAATTACATTTTACCTTAGATAGTTTGAGGGCTATTATTTTATACTTGGTGTGCTTTCGTACATGCTAATGATTTAAGCAAGTATCATATCAGTTTGTATTTGTTGCATGGCTTCTGCAATTTAGGGGTTGAGTTATATGTATCGTTTACTTTTTTGGCATAACTTCCCTTGTTCCAGCATATGTATGCATCTTAGGCATTGTTTTCTGTAAAACAGATGCACAAAAATCAAAATCGTTTTCTGCAGCATTTATTGCTGAATTCTGGTTTGGTTTGTTGTTTTGATTTTTCAATCAATGAATTCTTAAGAAGACTCATGTGGCGTTGTGTCAGTCCCATTTACATCGTATGTGCCATTAAAAAAAAAAAAATTTGCTTCTTAATCTTTTATATTTTCATGACTAAGATTTGTTTTGTAAGTTTTTTTGGTTGTTGTCATGCAAAACAAAGAGTAGAACATAAACTTTTAAGTCAGTTTTTGTTGGGTTTTTGTTTTTTGGTTACCTCACTCTTTCTCCCCAACAGTTATCTTTCACTTCCAAAGTCTAGGTGTTTTTTTTCTTGGGGGGGGGGGCTTCTAAT